CAGAAATGTGATCAGAAGCCCTAGAATCAAGAGTCCAAGGGCCTAAAGAGTGTAACTGAGAGATTTCAGCAAAAGAATTACCAGCGGGAGCAATGGATGTAGTAGGACCTGATGCTTGCTTTCTAAGACTTACTCAAATCCTAATGAAATAAGGAAATATATATTTACATATATACAAAAGATATTCTTTCTAACATATATATTGAAATAAAAAGCAAGTAATGAAAATAAGCATCAAGGATACTAATTTTCTATGAGATGAATCTTTATATTTTATAACAACATTTTCTTGCTCTCTTGGGGCTAAATTCAGGTGCACATGAGCTTAAGTCAGAAAAGAAGTCAAGGCCTGTGGGAGTGACAAAGATATGAACCCAGTAGCCAGCACCATAAGATGCCATCCGAAAATAGGATAATTATAGCACCTCTAATCTATAATTTCTTTTTTATGTATGATTTAATTAAATTATTTTGTATTTAAAATTAATAAAAAATGTTATTGAGAGAGTTTTTTCTTATTAATATTATAATTTTTTTGTTCACAAAAGTTAAGAAAACCAAACATGTGACTAGTTTATTAATGTGGGTTACGGATAAAACTGTATCATGTGCAATATTGAACCAACCTTTTATTAATGTCAGTTAAAAAAATGATAGCTATTTTTTCTTTAATAAAATATTGGGCTTGGTATGACTTGTAAATTGTAATGCAAGATACAATAAGGGTGATAGTGGAAACTGGAAAGTGATTCTTATTCCTTGATCAATATCCTTAAGAATCGTTTTTATCAATGGTTATATTTAGAATTAGAGTCCTCTGTTATTTGCAATCAGGAGTTTTTGAGAGGGATAGAATTTGCCTGGAATGAGGGGTAGAGACAGCTAATTGTTGAATGTGATGTGATATCATTATTTCTTTGCTTACCAAGTTTGGTGATAATATCCGCGAGTCATATTTGTTGACTCGAATACGGGAATGGTTGAAACGAGAATAGCAAATTCATCTTATACATGTTTTCTGGGAAACAAACAATTGTGCAGACTGATTACTAATTATCTTCTGGATCACTCTGAGTTGGATGGAGTGTGGCACTTCCAACGTCCGCCTATGGAACTTGTTTACTTTTTATTTCTGGACTAGTATCTCGCATTAAGTTCGTCTCTCAGTCTAATCTTTTCTTTTCTTTTCTTTTTTTGGTTGGGGCCTTAGCCCTTGTCTATTACCCAAAGAAAAAAAGAGAGAGTAGTTTTTAGAAAAACACCTTTAATAAGAACATTATATCATAAAACACTTTTGTCTCAAAAGTTATCCACGCAAACCAGTAGGTATAATCACTTATGGTTAATTGTTTACCGATTTAATAGATAAAGTAAATATCATTTTTGGTACTCAACAAATTTTACCATGTCCGTTTTAGTCGCTAACAAATAAAAAAGTCCATTGTGGTTTCTAAGAAATTCAAAATGAACTTATTTAGTTGAAATTGTGGTCCCTCGTAAATTTAAAAAAGACCATATTAGTTCTTCAAAAAAACTAAAATTTGTTCATTTTAAATTTCTTAGGAACCACTATGGACTTTTTTATTTGTTAGGGACTAAAGCGGGTATCATAAAATTTGCCGAGGATCAAAAAAGTATTTACTCTAATAGATATAATTAATTAATAATTTATCAAATATATTAAACCAATAAATACCTATAATATAATGAATGAATTTAGAAGAAATTGAACATAAATTCATGATGAGCAGTAAGAAATTAAAGTTGTTAAATGAATTTGATAATTGATTAACAACCCCCCCTCTCTCTCTCTGTCTGCTAAATGACAAATACCTTATACTCATCATACTATTTAAACTTATCGGGCACTTTCTTGACTATATTTATTGTTCCCCACATGAATTTACAATTATATCCCCGCTTTTAACTTCCCTAGGTGCCGTGTCACAATCACAATCACATCCACCGCTTTTGCTAAACCCCATTCTAAACAAGTGCTCGCTTTCATTCCCATTGTAACGGTTGAAAACTTCGTTAAATATCACGGGGGTGGTGGTGGTTGATTCCGGTTAGTGTTAAAAAATTTGTGTACGTAAAAGAGATGTGAGTGAAAGGTACATGTGACTTGTAAAAAATTTATGGGTGGAGTGTGTGTTATTTAGAAAGATATAAATTGTATTTTTTCGGTGACTTACACAGAGTATGATTGGTCATATTTTGTGTAATTTTGAAAAGTTACTTTTTTATTTTATTTTACACGTCAACGATGTGACTAAAGAGAGAAATAAAAAAACTTTTCAGATTTACGCAAAGTATTTATACTTTGTGTAAGTCATCTAAAAGTACAAGTACACAATTTGTGTCCTGTTAAATAGGGATGTTCATCAATCGATCCAAACTGATCCAAACCGCGGTGACCGAACCGAAAAATCGATAACCGAATAAACCAAAAATCGAAAACCGAATAAAAACCGTAAATTTTAATTGGATTGGATCGGTAGATGAAAATCGATCCAATTCAAACCGATCCAATATATTAATTTTCCTCTACCTACTTGAGTCTTTCCTCAATCATAGTCCAAAAATTTCTAAACTCAAGACCCATTAACCCATCAAGTAAACTCAAGAAAAAATTTAGTCACATCTCATCAACAAAATTTCATCTATGTAGAGCTTCATATCTCATAGTCCAAAAAAAAAACTATATTATCTTATGCTTTTGTATTTAAAAAAGAAATATTGCAAAGTTAATATACACAAAAGATGTTATTTGCATAATAATCATGAAATAAATTTTAGGATTTTCAAAAAACCGAAAACCGATCCAATCCAAACTGAAAAAAATTGGATTGGATCGGATCAGATTTGAAACAAAAATTCAAACCGAATGGATGATTATATGATCAAACCGAAGGGATTGGATCAGATGATTTTTTCTTCCAAAACCGATCCAATTCAAACCGCGAACACCCCTACTTTTAAATGATAGTCTTTTTTTCCAAAATTTATATATATAATTAAAGTTCTATTTTCTTTCCCCGAAAAAATTGTAAATTTCTATTTCATAACCTTTTAGAGCATACATGCAACCACATAAATGGTGACATGGGTTGGAAGAGGATACTTTCAATTATCGGCTACCCAAAAGTTCCATATGGTGCTGCTATGCTTTTATGCTAAAAATAATAAGTTTCGGATAAGCTTTGTCCTACATTATTCGGTGAGCATCGTATATGACCTAACAAATTATAAGTTATGATCAAATCATGGGTTTTGTTCGCACCTAGTCGTAACTCGTTTTATTTTTAATTTTTATTATAAACCCGTGACTGGGGATATTCATAAACTAATTTAATCTAATGTAAATCATAAAATAGAGGTTGGAAGGGTGATGTTTTTGCTGGAAGGTAAGAATAGATCAACATAATAGTGCTTGGAAGGAGTGATTAGTATAAACTAAAAGCTCAACGGAAATCATCGTGTAAATTTTAGGCAAGTTGAGAATTAAGGATACAGTTATGATAATGAAAAATGCTTTTTTTTTTCTTTTCAAAATAACAAAATGAAGAGTAATGATGAAAAAAAAGAAGAAGCTTCCGCAACTTGGGTTTTATACTAAAAATAATAATAGATGTTTTCGGCTATCTAATCAAATCAGCCAATTATCTTTAGAAGAGCATCTGATCCCATAATATGTGGTAATATACTATTTCTTTAATTCTATTATAATTATAAGATATTCACTCTCAAGTAAATACGACTAACCTTATATGCATATTTTATTACAATTTCATATGCAGTATCGATCAATTTTATCAATTAAATTATAAAATAAAAAAAGATAAAATTAAATTAAATAAATTTTTTCTTCAAAATTGATCAAATCCAAATTATTTGTGGAATCAATAAATATTTTTTCTTAGTTCAAAGTCGATATTCAAAATTTCATAATAAATTACATCGATATTAATTTCAAAATATTTATTGTCCTTTTGATGAGAATGAATAAATCTCATTTAAAATTTCAAATAATCTGATGAAGGTGATGTAAAATTTTAACATGAGAAAATTATCCCCTTCTATCGATACACGCCAATTAGATGTGTTAACGGGCTGAGCTTTGATCTTAAAAGAATACGTCTGTGTTTAAATATGTCAGACTGATCAAGCCTGTTAACTGTTATAAATATAATTATCGGCATGTGACATGAATTATTTACAAAAAAATGAAAGCCTGATTTAGCTTGTTAGTCTGTTTAAAAAAAATAAAACAATAAAAATTTATCCAAACAAAATTACAATCAACAACATTAGCAATTCCATAAATATTCATAAATTCAATGTCTATTCAAACAGCATAATATAGAACAAAATCATTCAAAAAGTCTGTTTAACTAATAAAATGAGGATGAAATGGATTAAGGAGAGAGAGAGCTATTAAAGTAGTATAAAAAATATAAAATAAAAATAAATATTAATATACTAGATCAGTCTGAGAGGCTCTAAGGCTGAGCTTTTGAAGTGAAGTCTGAAGCCTTTTTATTAAACGAGTTTTTATATAAGTTCAAGCATGATTTTAACAACCAATTTTAGGCATATAAATTAAGGCCTTCACGAGCCGAGCCAAAGGCCTCTGGTTCGTTTATCATCCCTAACGCGAATAGAATAAAAAGGAACATTTCTATTCTATTCTCCTTAATTTTATTGTTTTTTTAAAGAGGAATCAATATATATTCTTTTTAAACTTATTACCAATCATATTTCATTTTTAAAATGTACCCGTAGAATTAAATAACAAAACCTGGATCTTATGTTGCTCTCTGTTTAACACGTATCAAATCAGAAGCATAAAAAAAACAATTAGAAAATTAGGGCAGTTTGGTAAATTGGAACTGATCATGCTTAATAATAACCTCGACCTCTTTAGCATAACTCAGTACAGTCTCTATCTTCAGCTTTACTCATCGTTAACATGTGTTAACAAACACTTATACCTCTTCTTCTCTTTGTTCACACTGAGACTCAAACTTTTGCAAAAAACTCTGTTGAGCTGGTAAAGTTTCTAACTTTGGGATCAGCATTTTGAGGGGTAGGACACAAATGTTGGAACCCAGATTGGGTGGTGTCCTTTTTGTGTGGCTTGTGTGTTGGAGCATGGCTCCAATGGTGGAATCAGCCATAGGGGTCAATTGGGGCACCATTTCTTTCCACAGGCTGAAGCCATCAACGGTTGTTGATCTGCTGAGAGGTAACAAGATCCAAAAAGTGAAGCTTTTTGAGGCTGACTCTGATGTACTAAAGGCACTCATGGGTAGTGGCATTCAGGTCATGGTTGGGATCCCCAATGAGATGTTGCCACTCTTGAGTTCCTCACCTTCTGCTTCTGATTTGTGGGTTCGCCAGAATGTTTCTGCTTACGCTGGTAAAAATGGTGCTGATATCAGGTTCTTACTCTTTTTTTCTATCTTTTTTGGATTCACCCTTTCCTCTTTACTATTCAAACTGCTTAATAGCTTAGTTTAATCTTTCAAAATTCCAAAGCTATTTACCTTAATAATGTCTGAGATATACTTGATAGCTTAGTTTTCTGTATACTACTATGTTTTACTAAGAAATAGTCACCTTATTAAGCATCACCTCCTTACTTCATTTGTTCACCCTTTGATTATTATTTTTATTAGTTAGTGTCTCCATTGGAATTTCTTTGGTAAACTGTTGATTAAACTGCTGATGTTGACAGATTTTATGATATATCCAGTTCTTCTATGATCATGATAACCGTGAGCAGCTTATGTCTCATTCAATCAAGAGTGTTTTGTATTATTATAAATTTTTAATGTTTTGATTCTTAATTGCAAGTTAGAGTTTATTAGAGTTATTATGAATGACTCAAACATCTGTCTGCGATATAAACTTACTTTGAGAATTATAATAAGCTTTAATATTTATCGAATGTTGGACTTTATGTTGTGGTTTTTCTGGGGCTGCGAGCCTCCATCTAGAGGGGTTAGCAAGACAAAGAAGTTGCACTTTTATTCTATACAAACAATTCTCTTATGCATTCTCTAAATAGTTTGAAATAAGAACAATGATAAATTGGGTTTTGATCTAGTTCTGAATTCTAGCTGTCAAGGTATCAGGTCTTTGAATAACAGTTCACAACTCACTTCTAAAACAGAAGACTACTTTAGACAGTAGCAAATGTTTCATTGTTATTTCCTTTTTGTAATGCAGGTGAAAATTATAATAAATAATGACTTTTGCAGTTTGTGCATTGTAGCTAAGTTTTTTTGGAATGTGCAGAATATATTGATTTTCAAGATGCATTTCAACCTTTTAACTTATATTACAGGTACATTGCTGTTGGAAATGAGCCCTTCCTTTCGAGTTATAATGGTCAATTTGATAACTTGGTCATGCCTGCGATACTCAATATACAACAGTCCTTAGTCAAAGCAAATCTTGCTGGTTATGTAAAGCTAGTTGTCCCTTGCAATGCAGATGCCTATGAGTCCGCGGCACTGCCATCCCAAGGGGCATTCCGACCTGAACTGACCCAAATTATGACTCAACTGGTTCAGTTCCTCAACTCAAATGGTTCCCCATTTATTGTTAATATCTACCCATTTCTAAGCCTTTATGACAACACGGATTTCCCCCAAGAATACGCATTCTTTGAGGGAACTACTCATCCTGTCACAGATGGCTCCAATGTTTACACCAATGCATTTGATGGAAACTATGACACTTTAGTTGCAGCCCTCAGTAAACTTGGATATGGCCAGATGCCAATAGTTATTGGGGAAATCGGTTGGCCCTCAGATGGAGCCATTGGTGCAAATATCACTGCTGCAAGGGTTTTCAATCAAGGCCTTATCAATCACATTGCAAGTAACAAAGGGACCCCCCTGAGGCCAGGTACTCCTCCTATGGATGTTTATCTATTCAGTCTGCTTGATGAAGGAGCGAAGAGCGTACTTCCAGGAAACTTTGAAAGACACTGGGGGATATTCTCTTTTGATGGACAGGCTAAGTATCCATTAAACCTTGGACTTGGAAACAAGGAATTGAGAAATGCAAAGAATGTTCAGTATCTCCCATCTAGATGGTGTGTGGCAAACCCCTCCAGTGATTTGACTAATGTAGTAAACCATATGAGACTTGCCTGTAGTGTTGCAGACTGCACCACCCTTAACTATGGGGGTTCATGTAATGAAATTGGTGAGAAGGGTAATATATCATATGCTTTTAACAGTTACTATCAGCTACAAATGCAAGATTCAAGAAGCTGCGATTTTGATGGGCTTGGTATGGTTACTTTCCTAGACCCTTCAGTTGGTGATTGTCGTTTTCTTGTGGGCGTTACAGATAAAAACTCGAATTCATCTACATCTCAAACAACATATCAGTGGTGGGTTCTAGTATTATTTCTGATTTTACATTGGACTTTTTTGCTTTCGATGTGATTAAGAGGTTTCATAAGTGGGTTTTTTCATGGTCCCCTCTTCTGAGACTGTTAAAACTAGAATAGCTGATATACTATTTAAGCTTAGAAATATTCAAAAGATTCCAGCACATGATTAAGTCATTGTATCATATAAGAGACGTTTTAGACACTATCACTATGTATTGAATATTACACATATATTTATTTCATGTTTGTTATGGTGACGCCTATTGAATGAATCAGAATATAGTTCTCTAGTTCATCTCCGCTGGTAGGAGGGGTAGATGCATTACTGTTAGCATTTCTAACAGAAGCATGTTTTTGTGAATTTCATATCTTATTGCAGTTCTATGGAACTAGAGTTTATGTCCTTTAAACTTTGACTTTATTCACGCTTAAGCGATTCCAAAATGTGTCAACAACTCTCGTATGCATGGTCCATGAGTGCCAATAACTTGTGATACATGAATGCGAAGTCAAGAAACAAATCTATAACACATAGGAAAGTGCCGTTCTTGCTCTTTGAAAACTCCTTGGATGGGTAATGGAGGGATGTGCAAGTAATTTATCAATTGAAATCTCTTGGGAATGGTCATAATAAAAGAAAAGGTTTATTACATTAAGTTGTCAATAACACTTCAAACTTTTTATGCAGGACACTTAATTCAATTTTTTTGGTTTCCTGCATAATTATTTAGCAGCACATTATTTAGGCATCTGGGTGAAGAGAAACATATATAGAACTTATAAGGGGTGGTATGCTTCAACGTAGTGATGCTTAAGTCGAAGAGCAACATCCATCTTGACAACATGCTTTCCCACATTGGATCATTGGCTTCCATATGAACCAGCAGCACCGACAACCTTGACAGAAAAGATGTAATAACAGTGACTTTTAGGTTATTTGAATCATGGGTAGTACTATATAAATTGGTGACAAGAATAAATGCAAAAGCATAAGCGAATATTGACTTTACCCTGAGGATAATAAACCATGTGCTTAGAAGTTGGGGGATGACCCTTTGTATTGTCTGTATTTGCAGAAACGACTATGAATGCAACCAGTAAGAGGCATGAGAGAGCAATGACCAAAGCTGCTTTTTTCACCATCTTCTCGACCTTACTCATACTTTTCTCTTTGCAAATCTATTTATAATAGGTTCTCCTTTGGGCAGTAGATAAAGCAAAAAGTGGTGCTACAACTTGTTTCTTGTCATCTTAGTTAGTAGTGCATATCTTTTGCTTGGAATATGGGCACCTTTTGTCTGTTACACACTAGTCCTAATCTTTTATGCTCGCCAATTTTGACTATCCCCATATTTTAATACATTTCCTAGTATGAAACCATTACTACTGATTCAAATCTTTTATATGCATGCCAATTCAGTGTATAGACATAGCTAACATAACGTGACAATCTCTGAGATAACCATTTGCGCTGAAAGAAACCAAGCGGTGTGACAGTGAACATGGTGTTATCTCAAAGGGGAATCAAATGGATAAACACTGATTGAGCAACAAGGACAACTTGTGAGGCAGCTAATAAAATTGCAACTCAACTCACACCGAGTCACCGACCATCATCATCATCATTCGTAATGTTATACTTATAGTAGCAAAATTTGCAAGCCATTTTAACGAAATTAAGAAAAAGATTCAAAAGTTAAATGATCAAATTGAATCTATATAATATGGAGAGACAAACTTCATAAAATATAAGATGGACTTAAACAAAGTCTTTTTTTTCTTTTTTTTTGCTTTAAAAGTTAAATTCTTGGGATGACTTCGTCACAGTCATAGTCATTTAAAATGAAGAGTAGACATGCAGGATCCATTTAATCAAAGCCACTAAAACCTATTTAACACCATCGACAGTGAAGTTGAGCACAAGTACGAAACAAAAAACTAAAGCAAAACAATCTCTTGAAAAATAACAAGCTAAGCTCAAGCCATTAGTATTTACAGAAGATCACCATCTCCATACAAAGATGCAAGTCCAGGATTGGCATTTTTTTTTTATTACATGAAAGTTTAGGGGGAAGAGGTCTTTAAAATCTTCCAAAGAAACCCAACACTTAGAACTCCCCTTAGCTATTGTAAGAGTTAGAGAGATGTTTGGAGTTTGAACTTGTAAGTAGTAGATTCCCCAACTGGGAAAGATGCATCAGATAATTTTCCATGGGCTCTCTTATTGTCATAACCAGGATAGTCATCCTTTAAGAATGGCACAGCTTCATGCAAGACCAGTCCTCTCTTTTCTGCCTTCTGTACCAGATCCCATTTGTTGTATGGATCACCCTCCTTGTGCGTTACATGAATCTCCCCTCCCTCTTTCCTTACTAGAACTTTGGCATTTGCTAAAAAACCCTTCACCAACCTTTTGTTCAACCTACTTGGTTGTCACAAATTCAGGTCCATCAGTAACCATGCACTGGCTCAATAGATGAGCAACAAATTCGACTTAAAACAAACCAAAATGTTTGCTTGTCTCCATAGTCCATAGTGTAACAGACAAGAATGCATGCATCACTAAATTCTCATTTGTCCTCTTAAATATATCAAAATTAAGCTCAACTACATGATGATCAAGCAACAGTTCCAAAACCCAAAATCCCTTGTTGAAAGGAAAATCTAACAGTTCACTTGGTTGAGTAGGTGCAAAATATGAAGGTACAAAATAGAGGATGAAGTGAAAATGAGTTAGATGTTATTTTTCACCACCTTATATTTGTTATACTAAGCATGTGTAAATTTTGCTATTCCAAGCTTCCCACTTTCTACCTACATATTTTTTGTTGCTATACTCATTTGCCTTAATTTAGGAAGTAAAAGATTTTAATAATCACAGTATACAGCGCAGAGAATGTGTAATTGTTGGAAGAGTCAAAAGAGGTTACAAATTATAAGTCCTAGATTATAAGACTTTGGATAGGATAAGGGTGTGTTTGATATGTCAGCAATTAAGAGTCTGCACAACACACACACACACACACAAAAATTTGTACTTTGTTTGAGTATTGAAATAGTATAAGTACCGAACAAAGAAACGACTCTAAATTTTTTAAATTATTAGGCCAGGTTATAATATCTTGTCCAATGCACAAAACGAGAAAAAGAAAAAGACCAATAACCCTTACCCCTTTATTATATCCATCCATAGATATCAACAAAATTTTTAACCATGTGCATTAGTCATCAAACAATTGACTGCACAAAAAAATTGTCCAGTGAGTCAACAACTTGTATTGTATTATTCAGTTTGTACTATCACTCATCATGCATCAAATGCAATCTACATGTCCGTATTTGTAAATAGTGGTAAGATTAAGGTAACTTCCTATTTTTTAGGGATGCAGGTAACTATCTCCCTATTCACGTCCCATCTAAAGAGAGTACTTTGTGTTCTATTTTATGTCAGTTTAAAATACAAATAATCTTTTTCTGTCAAGTTTAAACTTGTGCATAAGTGTGACTATTAGCCCGAGCTTCGAAGCAACTACCAAAACAGCTCTAAAGCTGTAAGTTAATTGCAATTAGAATAAGTTGATTCTGATAGACTTTTGTTTCTTTAAGCGGTAATCTAATACCAAGATGATCAAACACTATGTTGTACATTTCTCTTGTTCTGATAAGAGTCACAGAAAAAGTTATTTATGGACAACCAACCCAATCATTTGAAACTCACAACAACCTCATTCAGGCCTTCCAAGTAGAGGGAAAGATAATTAACAAACAATACAAGAAAAATAAATAAAAAAAGGCAAAGCAAAAGAAATGTAAAAGAAGAAAAGAAAAGAAAAAGCAAACAAAAAAGAGATGAAAAGGAATGAAGGAAGGAAACATAACTGGATCTGGCAGTAGCTGTTTTCTGGGTAAAGAAAGCCAACATGAGGGAAGTTATAGACAATGCGATCGAACCTCTGTGTCTTGAGAAAGAAGTGCTGGCACATGTTCTTAGCATCAACACCGTAAAGAACAAGGCAACCCCTTTCTTCAAGCTCCCTCACATTACTTATTCCGTTACTGTACTTCTTTCCAATGTTCTCTGCCCAAAAAATTATCAAAAGAAATAAATGGGTATGATGAAAAAGGTTCCAAGTTTTAATTTTTTTTCCATTTTCCCGGAAAACAAAGAGGAAAAAAAAAGATAAATTTAAAATTTTGTTGAGATGGGGCTGACCCTGGGAATCGAGGGAAGTAGCGACGAGGTTGTGAGCAGAAGGGAAAGCTCTGGCCAAACAAAGAGAGAAAGAGAAGTCACCCTCTCCAACAAGGAGTATCCTATGCCTTGATGAATAATGCTTCTTCCATTTCTCTGATTCTTCATCCAATTCTTGCTTTTGATATTCATCTTGATCATCAGTGTCGAGATCATCATCATCATCATCTACTCTCTCCTCTTCTCTACTCATTTTTATCAATATTGCATTGGTAAACACCTTTCCTTTATGGCGACCCTCTAAATATCCCGCTACAAGCACACACACTCTCTCCGTGTGTGTGTGTATAGTCTATAGTGTGTGTGCAATGAACAAATGTACAATATTTTATCTTATTCGATTTAGTAAAAATAACAAGTGACCTGTTTAGATGAGTTTCTTTTTTCTTCAAAAGTTACTTCTTTTAAAGAAAAAAAATTACTTTACGTTTAGATACTTGTTTTTAAAAGAAGAAGAAGTCATAGAAAAAGTCAAAAACTTATTTTTTTTCAAAAAATAAAATAAAGTTTTTAACTTTTCAGAAAAGCAGAAGTCAAAAATTAAATATTTTTATAAAAACATAAATAACTTTAATTTTTATAAAATGTACTTTTAAAATAAGAAAGGAATAAAAGTTATTTTTTTGAAAAGTCCAAACAAACGGGCTCTATATAACATATATATTTATTTACACCCTTATATAGTTATGATTTCCCGTATTTAATGTGAAAGCATTAAATATAAAAAATCATAATTATACAAGGATGAAAATAAATATAAAGTATTAATATGGAGAATCATAAACATACAAGAGTGAAAATAAATATAACCGTTGAATCAACATAATTGATCTAACGATGAAATTAATTGATAATAATATTGATAATAATACTAATTAATTATTATAATATATTTTCCCAAAATACAAATAGAAAAATAATTAATCTCTCCTAATGATTATTTTGAAACATTGGGTGTATGGGCTTTTCGCCTTTCTAATGCAAATTTACTAATGTAATAGAAAAGACATGTTAATGCGTGTTAAGACGCGCACATAGGTGAGATCGATGGATAGAAATGTGCACATCACTGGTACGACGGACTCATATTAACGTACAGTATTAGGTAGATTCTTTTTTCGCATTATTTGCCAGAAAAAAAAAAACTTAAACCAATATGTAATTTCGAAATTTGCATTCCAAAATCAAAAGGCCGATGTATGGTTGTTTTTGCTTCTAGGCTAAGGTTCCCATTGAGTGGTCACGTCACCCTTCTAGGGGTGTTTGATTCAAGTTAAAATTTTACTTCATCGTAGAAATATAATTACCAGGGATATGTAGGAAGAGTGAATTAGATAAGAAAGTTAAAAAAAAATTATTTAGTTGAGTCAAATATTATCAGGCAAATTGATTAAAGTTTTTGAAATCTATGTTTAGTTGAGAATAAATTATTGATGGGTAAATGATATAAAATTACAAATATAACCCCATAAAAAAATTGAAACTTCGGTACTTTAGACGATGGTATTTAGGGGCATTTGGTTGAGGAGAAATTTTTTGAATACTAGGGAAATGTAATTGATAGGGAAATGGTAGGAAAGTGAGTTTGGTAGGAAACTGTAAAAAAAGTTGTTTGGTTGGGAAAAATTTTACCGGACAAATTGAGTAAAATTTCCTGAATCCATGTTTGGTTAAAGATAAAATATTGGTAGGAAACCAGTTAAAATTACAAAATGCACCCTTTACATTATTAAGTGGCTCCGCAAGATTTGGTGCATGCATTTATTACCGGATGCTGACAACATAAGAAGACAAGAGATCATAATTCAGGGTATCAACTAAACATGATATACCACATCTTCCAAAATGGTGGAGATGAGTCACTTGTTCGTTGGGTTTTGGAAGCTTGGAATAAAAAAAAAATTATGAAAAGGGGAAGGGGCTATGGGTGGCAGGAGGAGGGACGGTGGTGGAGATGGCTGAACGGTTGTGGGCTGCAGTTGGAGAATGGGTCGGGGAAGGAGATGTGGTGGATGTGAGAGAGGTGGGTGGCGGTGAGGGGTCTTCGATCAAGAAGGGGCTGTGGTGTGGTGGTCCTTGCCGCCGAGCTTGGAGGACCGGTGGTTGATTGCTATGGAGGAAGGTGACCGAATGGGTTTGTGGGTCGGTGGCTTTGTGTGGTGTGTGGTGGATGTGGGTAGCTGGAATCGGTAAGTCGGTGGCTGTTGTGGTTGTCCGGTTGTGTAGGCTGTGGTTTGAGGGAGGATATATGGTGGTTTGAAAGCACTGATGAAGGGTAGTTTTGTCAGCTCCCTTTTCACCCATTTTCACTTCCCTGGTTATCCATCAAATACCACCATCGGAGTAGGATTTCAACGCCTTCTTTTGGGTTCAATTTTACATACAAATCTCGATTGCTAGGTAAATAGGTTAGGTAGGCAAATATTTGGATCACTTCTACCAAACATGGAGAACCTATTTACCCACTTTGATATGCCTAGGGAAATTTTGAGAAAACGTCTACCAAACGGCCCCTTAAGTCTACTAGTGGGTTGCTCTTTTACCATTTAGCTAGCTAAATGTAAAATATCACCCGTTGTCTTTACAAATAGTAACTTTTGCTTGCTTTCTAAGAACAAATAAGGAATGCTATGCAAATACAACACCTAGGAAAGTTTTGTAAAACTTTCTACCAAACATTACTTTCTTATTTTGCCAATTTGATTTGCATAGGTAAATTTTAAGAAATCTTCAATCAAACAGCACCCTAAACTCGAGAATCTTATGTATATTTGTTGCTTTAAATTGGACGAAACACTGTAATTATGATATTAAGTTCAATCTGTTTAGACAGATTAACCAGTTAATTTAATTGGAGTTTGACTGTTTTGTCTCTACGTGAGTATAGACTTATGTTATTCGTGCTATGTTATACCCTCATGCTCTGACACGACATCCCGTACTAATCTTTATCATATATCACACACTTATTTGCATCATTAAAAGAGAAATTCTTAAACACAAATTGCATTATGATGGATATATTATATATAGACTAACTGTTTACAAGTAAATATACTAATAAAGAATTGTGACTTAATAATGTATTATAAGTTCTTAACTTTCCAATTAAATTTCAAAGCAACCCGTCAAATAAACCAAGACATTTGAAAGTCTTCACGATTGCACCCATCACTTGACAGTGTCATATGAAAAGACACGAATATTTAACAAGTGAGGCCTTATCAAAATTAGGGAGTCGAGCAAGTCATGTTTAGAGTGAGATAGACACAAAAACCATAACATGATTCCACAATTTATAAAGGAACAACCACCACAGTGCTATTATTTGACAAAATTTTTATCTAAATATCACGCGAACAGTATTTTTTACCAGACTGTCATACGACGTAATTCTCTACGACTGGTAACGAATCATGTTCGCCAATAATTTTGTGACACGTAACACAATTTTACAGAAAAAAACTGACGGGACGAAATTTGCTATTGGTGATAGCAAATTTGCTACGCAATGTGGCCACGTGTCACGAAATCATTGGTGAACGTAATTCGCTACCAATCATAGCGAATAACATCACATGACAATCTGGTAAAAAATACTATTCGCATGACATTTGAATAAAAAATCTGCCAAACAATAACATTTTAATCATTGTTCCATTTATACAAGACCCCCCCCCCCCCCCCCCCCCGCCATTTATGGTCTTCTTTCTTCTTTTTTTTATTGGGTGAATTGTGGTCTTTATATATATCTCTATTCACTGAAGTTTCATATGAAAGATTGATTCTACAAAATTTGTAAAATCCTGTTTAGAGTATATGGGGGTCTATTCTATTTCTTCAAGAATAATTTTCCCAGATGGCATGAAGGGCCCTTTTCTGGTTTTGGATTGGACAAATTTACATAATCTTCAACTGGGAAATGGATATTATATCGCCTCTTGCTGTTATCAAGTTTTCCTCCTGTTACCATATAGAAGATCTATGGTCTTGTACATACAAAATCCATCTACTTGACATCCACGTTAGACCTTTTTACAGTCTATTGGATTTGACTGAAAACATAAAACGAATATAAAACATGGATTAAGTTTTACAATACATTGTCTCAGTTAGAAAGCTAAAAAAGTGTTTGGCATGTGCTAGATTTGCCAGAGTGGGTACTCCTAGCTACCTGCACTCAAGAGTACATGAAAAAGCCCATCTGTATTAAAGCAGATACAAAAGAAAGGTACTGAGTAAAAGCTTAAACAAGAGAAAACTAACCTGCGTGTCTTTTCATTATGTGGCTTTACATTGGCTGTTTAAGCTTAGCAAGCTCGCTCAGTGAATCTTTAAGAATTTGGCTGTTAAGGCTTCTCCTACTCTGAAACAGATACATACTATAAGATGGTACCATCCTAAACCAATACTGTTTTCTTTTTTGTTAGTTTCTTTTCTTGATATGTGGGAATCCCAAATCCTCCAAAGAAATTAGGGCAAACAGGCAACTCATAAATAGGTCTTATGATGGCATGACATTGAACACCAATCCAGCTATGGATATAATAGTCATAAAACTAGTTGGAGAATTTATATCTTAGTAGTTAAGAAAAGGGTCAGACTAACCACCCAAGACATGTGTTCCAATATTTTTTTTCATATACACTAAATTAATACCCCTACTTCTATCTTCACTAGTCAGTACAATGAAAAATTGAAAATTAAAGGATGGGAAAGGGAAATAATGGGGACCATCAAGTAATTATGTTTTTCAAATAACTCTTTCTAACAAAATATTATTTCAAATTATCACCAAAGATACCAAAATCACAATGAAGCCTACCCTATTCGAATATTGGCAAAAAAATAATAATAAATTTTTTGTAACTGCAGTTACTTATCCTAAACACTTAGTCCTCAATAGTGAAAGAACTTCATTATATAATAAAGAAAACAACCTTGAACCTTCAGTGTCCCAAAAACCATACTCCTTCCACCAATGATTTAAATGAAAGGAACATAAAATGCTCCAAGTCATACCTTTAATGATGGGAGAAGAGCAAAAACTTCTTCAACAGTTTCTGGGCACAAATTAGCAATCACACATATCTGCAGAGGAATAATGATGTCAAGAATGCTGCATAATACGTAAGAACAAAGGAAGTTCGAATGAAATTGATACCTCACAATCAGTGAGACCATAATCTGCAAGAGGCCTAATATTTAAGTCAAGAAACGAACATTATGGGGATAAAGAGAGAAGTAATATACAGCTAAGCAGTAATGTCATTTATCCATTCTAAAAAAATCCAAACACAGATAGCACACGTGTAACACACACAAGACTGAAAAATTAAGGATACTCAAGAATGCCTCTAACGGACTTAGGATTTTTATAATTGCTAGTGCTTTTGGCATAGTTGAGTCCCTTGTCAAATGATCTACAAAACAGAAAATAAAGAAGAAATCAGATCACTTAAATCGATCATCCACTCAAATGATAAACCTTAAATAACCCATGCATCCATTTTAATAAAAAAGTTCAGTGTCTCCCTCACACAGGCATTTTGAATGTTGGATCTCTAGATAGCGTGACCATCTGATGTTGAATTCCTAGTAAAGTATCTGCAGCCTCACAGTCCATCAGGCCTTTGATATTTTCTGGAAGTTCTGCATATGTCACCCAAATAGAATTTAATTTTGTTTATATTAATTAAAGATAGAGTGGGGTTTATCACAATGATCGTCAACATACAAGTACAAAATAATAATAGTAGATTTACAATAATTCACAGAAAAAACACACAAGAGATAATGAAGGCAAGCACCAACTTTGATCAACTCTAGGGTCTGATGATGGTGGGTCTTTTGACACAGGAACCTTTCCACCATTAGCAACCTTATCCCCCTTTCCTCCTTTGCTAAAATCACCTTGGAAATGAAAAATAGTCCAGGAAAAAGAAAGATGACTAAGAAAGGAAGAACAGAACGTGCAATCAATTTAAAAAATTTAATGAAGATGTGCCAGAATGCGAAGTCACCAAAAAGATGAAACAATAATAACTTGAGAATGGCACTCTTACCTTTCCCACCAGATTTTGGGGAAATATTTATTCCGGATTCAAATGGACCTACAATACACAATCAAGCATTAATTTCAGCAAGGTAATTGCACAACTAGTTGTAAACATGATCGCTATCCCAAAGTCTTCAGTTTATGCAGCAGCTACATCACAAAGAAGCTCTAGTACTTGCATACTCCACTAAGAAGCAGTACGAAGATAATAAAATAATAATGCTAACCTTCTTTAGCAAACTGAACCTTCCTTCCCTTAGCTGATTTCGTGGCACTGTCATCCTTCCCTTTTAGGGATCCTACCAAGAAAAAAAAAATGAATAATCAAGTGCTTAGTTAAAAATGGTTCAAATTACTGGCACCCACAATGTGCCACTGATGGATGAAGGCAAGATGAACACATATATGTGAAGTTGTCAACACATAAATCCATAATCTCATATCATTAATCGAACCAAATAGAAAAAAACTAATATATAGGCACAAAGCAACATGGAGGGTGAGCCTTGAAGTAACGGTAAGGTTGCCCCTTAAGACCAGAAGGTCACTTGATTGAATCTAGAAAACATCTTCTTTGCAAAAACGCAAGAGTAAGACGACATACAATCGATCCTCACCCCTACCCTTACAAACTGGGGAGCCTTGTGCACCGGGGTTTGCCCTTATAGGCACAAAGGAACATATGCAAATCAAAGGAAAATATACCAAAGACATCTCCAACCAAAAAAAAAGAAAAGGCACACATACATTAAAAATGAAATAAAATAAAATCAGGGGTACCATCTCATATCTCACAATGAAGAAGAACCCAGAACTTAGTAAGAGACTATCAGTGGCAGCAGCAATCACATAGGTCACAACCCAACATAGTATTTGTGCATAATGCACCAATAGACCAGCCTAACAGAGAACTCAACCCCAACAAAAGAAAAACAGATACCCAAAAGTAAAAAAGAGCAAAAAATTGAAACTTTTGATAAAGGGCCAAACAGATAAAGAGGGAATGTCCAACAGTTACCTCCTTTGCTTAACAGCGAGTGGCCCTTTCCTCCTTTGTCCGACATCGCCAAAACTTCGCTTCAGCCTACAAAATTAGAAGAAGAGGGAAATGCCGGTAAAACAAAACAACCTCATTATCTCATTGACTAGTGTTTTTGGAGGGTTCACAGTGTCGGTGGTAACATTACCAAATTCAGATTTAGAAAAGAAATGATTTTTGATTAACATGCGAGGATTTGAGGAAGAACAGAAACATGGGTTACCCACGAAAGGGAAGTTAAGCGTTACTTACCACAGGAATGGGAGAAGAGCAAAACCAGAGAGCGCAGACAGAAACAGCTAAAAATGTGAATATGAGTGAGATGCCCAAAACGACATAGGAATTTTGCTATTAAGGGCATATAGGTCTTTTCGGGATCAGGCTTTTTAAATTAAATTGTTTAAATTTAGAGATTAATGTTTATAGTATTTTTTAATTTTATCTCTTACACACATATACAAATATATGGATCTCATATGGGACCATATAAAAAAATAAATATAAGTTTCACATACTTTTATAGGGTAGGATATTATAACAACCAATTAGTATTATTACCAATGTTACTATCAATCAATTTCACCGTTAGATCAATTATGTTATAATTGATCTAACGGTTATATTTATTTACATAATATAATTTTTAAAAAACATTCAAAATTACTAAACAACAGCTTTTCACATATCTAATGGTTTCAAAATTATCTTCTTCATTTAGTATCAAAGTTATGCATATACGATTATAAAATTTGCATATAGAACCTACAGTTCATGATAAAATTTCGTTTGGAATTTTTTGCAATTGGGTTTAATTACATGAAAATTTAAAAAAATTCTTAATTTTTTTTCAGTCGATACATTGAAACCTTAAGTTGCTTTGGGGCTTTTTTGTAGTTATCTATTGACACAAAAATTGTTTGAAATCGTTTTTATAGTGAAGGAATTTCATTCATGAATGTATTGTTACGAAATATAGGGTTCATATTATTAAAGTTTCAATCATTCTTTAAATTGATATTGTTTCATTGATGTAAAACGAAAATTGGTTTGAGAGTTTTAGTTCCCTGTTATTTTTTCACTGTTTTATGTTGTTTTTAATACAAAAATCACGTTTTTGTGCCAAGAAAAACCACGACCCAAAGTTTGAAAAATTACTTTTAAAACTTTCAAAATTTCTCAAAATGGCTCAAAAATATGTTATTTTTGAGATAGATTATATTAAAATCTCGTTGGTTTGTTGTTTTGTGATGAAAGTCGCTCAAAATTTCATCTTTATACGGAGGAATCATAACCATACAAAGCTGGAAATAAATATAACTGTTGGATCAACATAATCGATCTAACGTTGAAATTGATTGATAATAATATTAGTAGTAACACTAATTGATTATTACAATATTCTACTTCAAAACTTTTATATGTGTAGTAGATAAAAATATTTAAGATCGCAATCCTTTAAATTTATTGGAAGTGATCTTTCTTATTTGTCATTTAAGATCACGATCCTAATTATTTATGATTAAATGAATGATAATAATTTTATTAAATAATTATAATTTTCTCGCGTGATGTATTTATGTTAAATAATTTATGAGATTTTCATTTCAAATTTATTTCAAAATTTCGTGATTAACAAAGAGTTCTGTAACAAGCCCAAAGACTATTAGGCCCAAGAGACAAAGGAATTTTTGTTGGTAATCAGGAGGGAGCCCACTTACTTATAGGATTACTTCACATAAATGGTTCAATTAAATTAGTATATGATCACTTAATATCAATTAAATTAAAATAGTGGGAGTAGCTTAGAGTAGAATTGCAATGCTCACTTTTTATTCATTAAATCATACTTTGTGCATTACAAGTATTCTCTATTTATATATGGGGATATGATATTATGTCTACATTTTTTCATTCCTACTCTACTTATTTATCCCCAATAGTATTGAATCAGAATCTTAAGAAAAAAGAGACATTGTGAAAGTTAGTTGAGATTATAATGTACAGATGTTAAAGATAAGTACATAAAATAGATATAAAAAAGGTAGGTAGAATATTTTAACTATTAACTATTCTCCAATTCCCTTGACTTATTTTTCTTGAAACTAGCTTCATAACAATTCCCTAGAGTTCTGATGCTTAGAAAATATAATAATTAATCACAACTCCCAAGCATTTATTGCTTGGAAAATACATGAATTATATGCCAATTCTAATTAGCGTGGACAATTGAAGCAAACTTAGGCACTTATGCTTCTGATTTATTTATTTTTTTACCATCTTTCATAATTGTCCCATTAAGAAAGCAAATTAGTATAATTTGTCCCGAAATAAATTAAGAACCCAATTAAAATTGCGCCTTGAAGCAGGTACACAAATTTGTATCATTTGGGCTTTAATATTTGATCTCGTCTAATCGAACTTACCATATTTGTTCTCGCATCACCTTTTTAAAAGGAATTAGATGGACAAGCATTAGTCAATAGTTATCACTTAATAAAATAATGAAGAATTTATTTTGTTTATAACACCCATGGATAGAAAAGGTGAAGCTATAGAGACACTCGCGGACTCACGCATGGGCACATGTCCGCACTTGCCGACATAAAATTTTGATTTTAGTTTTTTCTTCTTCTTTGTTGCATGTCCTTATTTGTTTCTTGGTTCAATATTTATATTAGTCAATGTTAATTTTGCAATGCAGATGCTAAATATCTTTTTGGTGTTGAGATTAAATGTCAGTAATTCTTATGGCATAATATTGTTTTTCAAGTAGTAACTGAAGAGATATGATAGCTTGATTTTCTGGATTTGCACACTTCAATCGCTCAACTCAACAATCATTGGACATAGTTTCACTGTTATACTTGCTTCACTAGTAACATTTAATTTATAGGAAAAATGTTTGTCCTTTTAAATGACACAACTTGTGTTATTGGTAGTCAAAATATCCTCCCTCTTAAAATATTTATGTAGAGGAACTTTTATACACCTCACGATATGTGGATAATCCTTCGATTTCTGATATATTTTTTTTTTTATACACGATTTCTGATATATTTTGTAGTCACCACAGTATAGTGTATTAAAGTATTATTATTTCCCTATTCATCTTTAGAATTCTATATACAGACATATCTTCTATGAAAAATATGATGATTAATACATTCAGAATTTCAATAATATTTTAATACTTTTCTTTCTTTATTTTTCTCCCATCCTTATATAACAGTACTCCAAATTGATATTTTGTTTGTAAAAATACTCTTTTATGGAGAAAACCCTCAATTCATTTTTAAGTTGAAATGCAGATTAGGTGATTTCTCTGAAAATTAATAATGAATAAAGCAGTTTCTAAAAACTTTTATGCATTATCTAAATTATCTTTTTCTTCTCAAAAACTCACCATAAAACTTTTTGTGGGACCATATCGTATGCTTTCAAGATCTATGAACACCATATGTAAGTCCTTCTTCTTTTCTAGATATCTTTCTATTAATTGTCGCATCAAGAAAATGGTTTCCATGGTACATCTTCCTGGCATAACTCCAAATTGATTTACAAAAACCTTGATCTCTCTCCTCAAGTGATGTTCAATAACTCTCTTTCACAATTTCATAGTGTGACTCATTAGCTTAATGCCTTTATAGTTAGAACAATTCTGAATATCTTCCTTGTTTTTGTAAATAGGCACAAGCATACTTTTCCTCCATGCATCAGACATTTTATTTGTCTGGAGAATTTTATTGAAAAGATTAGACAACCATTTTATTGCAACATCCCTGAGGCTTTTCCACACTTCAATAGGGGCACCATCGGGTCCCAAGTCTTTATTAGTTTTCATCCTCTTTAAAGCCTCCTTAACTTCATGTGTATTGATTCTGCGCACAAATATTCTATTCAAACCATCATAAGTGTCCTCCAAGTCCACCTCACTTTTATCGTCATCCCCATTAAACAACTTGTTAAAGTAGTTCATCCATCTTTTATTTACTTTTTTATCTCTCACCAAAAGTTTTTTATTTTCATCCTTGATGCATCTAACTTGGGTGAGGTCTTTACTTTTCTTATCGCTCATTTTTGCAAGTTTATATATACCTTTTTCATCATCCTTGCTCCCAAGATTTTTAAACAAATCGGCGAAAACCTTGCCTCTAACTTCCCGCAATACTTTTTTTGCATTTTTTCACGCCAATCTAAATTTTTGCAAGTTCTCATCATTGAGATTCTTATGCAAAGATCTAAAGCATTCCTTCTTCTGTTTAATTTCCTCTTGCATCTCTCCATTCCACCACCATGTTTCCTTTGTGTAAAATGATTTCCTTTGCTTTCTCCTAACACTCTCCTTCCTATATTTTGAATACACATAGTCATCTCATTCCATATTTCATTTGCTGCTCCATAAAACTCCCATGGTCCTTCATGCAATATTCTATCCTTGAACTCTCTCTGTTTTTCCTCCTTTAACTTTCATCATCTTATCCTTGGGTTCTGAGCCATCTTCCTCAGTTTAAGTACTTTGTTGAACCGAACCTCTAGTACTACCAGCTTATGTTGCGTAGCGACACACTCTCCAGGTAGACCTTACAGTCGACACAAGAGGTTCTATATTTTCTTTTAGCCATAAAGAAATCAATCTGACTACGATTTGGCCACTATGATATGTGATTATATGTGACTCCCTTTTTCAAAAAAAGGTGTTCGCTAGCATCAAATCGTAGGCTAACATTCAAGATATCTTCTACACTCTCATTTCTCGTTCCATAGCCAAAACCTCCATGAATTCTACCAAAACCTCCATTGCTTTTACCAACATAACCATTTAAATCTCTTCTTAAGAAAATCTTCTCCTCTCGTGGTATTCCCCTCAAAATCTCCTCCAAGTCTTCCCAAAATTGGCTCTTATCATTGGGTTGCAATCCAACTTCGGGTGCATACACACTGAGGATATTCAAGATTAAATCACCCACTACAAGCTTAATAATCCTGTAGTCTTTCCTTTTGACGTCAACAACTTTATCTCTGAAACCTCTACCGATCATAATTCCGACACCATTTTTACTCTTGTTTATACTTGTATACCACAGCTTGAAAGTTGTGCCATCCACTTCCTTGGCCTTTTCTCCAACTCACTTAGTTTCTTGCAAGCAAATAATATTCACTTTTCTTCTAGCAAAAACATCTACTAACTCCTTCAGTTTACCCGTTAAGGTTCCTATGTTCCAGTTTCCCAATCGCATCCTTAACCCCTGGGTGGTGCTTGTCTATCACGCTCGCTCATCTGCATGTTGGGACCCTGACCTACTTGTCACGAAGGCTCAGCACCCTGCCTTTAGGCAAGGACCCTATCTCATTTATCACTACACCCCGGGACCGATGCAGCACGTTCTAATGAAGGGTACGCCCCAACGAAATATCAAAAGGGTTCATCTCATAAATATAGCCATTTTTTACGGCCGGCTCGCTTTACCTGACGTCAACCCCCATCGTTTATCATCACTTGGGATAGGTCATGCATGCAAGGACACATAGGCGGAGTTAAAGAGGTGCAACACGAGGACTTCCCAGGAGGTCTCCCATCCTAGTACTACTCTCGTCCAAGCACGCTTAATTGCGGAGTTCTGATGGGATCCGGTGCATTAGTGCTGGTATGATCGCACCCTATTCTGTTTATCCCTCTGTTCACAAATTTTAATAGAAGTCTATCTATTTAATGACTATTAAAAGAAATGTCCTAGACATTTAAAAGTGGAGACCAATATTTATTTATTTATTTTTGTAAATGAAAATTGTTATTTTATATATATAATAAATATGGCCAGCAATTGTGATGGAAATTGTATGTGTACGAGAATTCAACTGCATTTGTTGCATTGACCACTTTGATAAAAACAACTCTTTAACGAAGACAGAAAGTACTAATGATCATACCCTGCTTACATTTATGATACAGCTAAAAAGAAATTATGAGAATAGAGAGGCTAGGCTACAAAGTGCATATATATAGAGGGATGAGATTTTCTCTGATTTTTTCAAAGACTATTATTATCATTATTATCTCTATCTTCCCTTTTCATGGCCATGTTCAGATTTATTGCTTCTTGCCCTTCTTATGATTTTCTTAGGATCCAAGTCCAACTTGCTGACTGACATACTTTCTTCTTTGATTCTACTCACCTTTTCTGACCCTATCTTCTCAGTGTCTCCTCTTATAACCACCTTTCTTTCTAAGTCCAATGCCAATTTACTATCTGATAGTTTAGTTTTGTGTTGATTCTTTTCTCTACTTTCAGCATGGGATCGGGAGGTTCTTCTTGTGACTTGTTCTCTCTTGAATTCTTCCTTGTCAAGGCCTAAAGATTGCTTGCCATGGCTATCTCTAGTAGCTGGTCTCTTTTTTGCTCCTAGAAGTAGCTCATGTCGTTTTTGCAGCTTGGGACTAGTGGTTGCCTTAGAGCCTTTCTCTTGTTCAAAGTAGAGGAGCTGCACCACAGTTCTTAATGGCAGAAACTCGTTTTTAACTGCATGTGCACGCACTTCTGGGGACAGTCTTTGGCACTCTAGAATCCCACATAAGCGCTTCTTATCTGCCTTGCTCAGGTCAGGATGCACCTGTTTATGCATTGAACATAACTCACATCATGCCACTAAATTGCTTATAATGAAGTAGTTTGATGCTAATTCTAGTCTTTGGTGTGAACACTGTGTATAAGTGCATACGGTTAGTGTCTCAAGGTGCTCAAAAAGTGCCAAAATGTCAGCATAAAAGAGACCATGAAAATTCAAAATAGTTCAGAAATTGTTTAAGACACTGCATGTATGACATGGATAATTCACCTTAAGATAGATGCTAATTGCCTGGTATAGATCATCATGCTCTAATCGGCCAATAGCTGGCACAGTTTCAGCAAGAGTTACAAACTTTGACACTGGCAAATTATCATCCCTTGCCACCACTTGCAGATAGGAATCAATGAGCTTGCCAACATTTCTGATTGATCTTAAGAAGTGCCTGTTATCCACAGCACCAGGGGAGATTCTTTTCCAAAACTTCAAAAAACTTTCCAACACTGCTAGAACTAACTCTATATCATAAAAATTTTGGTCTAAAGATGATGTTGAAGTATAAAGCAGTTCACTAACTGTTGCCTCCTCAAGCTGTATGCTGGCTCGCTTTATTAGTTCAGTTCTTGTCACTGGGGAGACACCAAGATGACTTGAAATGCTGAGAAGTCTTAACAAGAAGCCAGCTGAAACTGACCCTCTATCTGCAGGAATCATGCTCACAATTGTTTCAAGAATTTTTCGGTTTTTCTCCTTAGATTCTTCTGTTTGTGACACTGAACTGCCTGAGCTTTTAAGCTTTGTGATGCCGGGTAGCCACTTACATGCATAGACATGCAAAGCTTCACCAATAAGCTGTGGTGGGAGCACATATGTTGCTCTAATAGCCATTATTATGCACCGGAAAAGATCTATGTCAAGATCAGACACATCCTCCGTCCACCAATCTTTTGGGACAGAATGATGCTGTTTTCTAGCATAACCAGGCCTAGTATAGGTGTAGGACCATTTGACCTGCACATAACAATCATTATTAAGCAAAAATGTCCCAACTATCAATCATATAAGTGTGAGGAAGTTTGATGGTCTTGAGTTCTTGACCTGTGGTGGTGGTGTAAGAACTTTCTCAATAATTGAATCAATGCATTTTCTTATTATACCAAGTTTCTCAGACCACTCAGGTAACTTGTCAGTGGTCTGCAGTGTGACAATGGAGTCCTTCCAACCTTCAAGAATGCATGAACTGAAGAAAGCCTCAAGTTTCCCTACGAAGTTTCCCTTCTCAATGGAGTCATTCATTTGGAGGAGCTTAGCAGCACAAAGTGCAGGTACTAAGTTATGAGCACTAATGTTTATTGAAATTCCATAGCAGAACTTAGCAGAGAGTTCAAAAGCATCTGCTCCTCCTGGCATATCATGAAGCTCTAGAGGAACAATCTCAGAATCACTAGAATCTGAGCAAAGTCTTTGTAGAAGGCCACTTTTTGGAAGAATTGGAGACTGCAGCTAACAAAAGCAGAATTATAGATGAACCAAGCCTTAAATTTTGATTTTCTTATTGCACACATCACACTCAATCTAATTCCAATACCTTGTGTAGCAGATAAGTATTATCGTTGATTTTTATCACAAGGTCAGGAGGTATATCTGAAACCAGACTCCTGCATTTATGATTATGATAGAACATGTTAATATGTGAATATATATATATATATATATGGGGCAAGATATTCTTACACCGGTGTAAGAGTTAATAATTAATTAATAAATATCAATGATGATTAGGTTAGTTGTCTTGTAAATTTTTTTGGTGGTAAGTATATCACTATATATATATATATGGCATCTTGACCATTGATCCACTTGTATCCAATGGCTCACGTTACTAAAAAATTTGAGCCCTTAGATATAAGTGGGATCAACAGACAAGATTGAGAGTGTAACTTACACTAGTATAAAATGATCATGACCCTATATATATATATATATATATATATATATATATATATATATATATATATTAGAGAGAAAATAGGTTGTGTACCCCTTTCAGACCAAAGATTGATATGAATACCTGGTAGCTTTTTCAGTGTAGAAAGTATCTTGCCTTGTTCCAAGTTTCATAAACTTCATACCTATTTGTTGTAATCTATACCCAATGGTCAAGAAAAACCTCTACTTCAAAGCCTGCATAAATTCTGAAGACTGCAAAACAGATCCCATAAAGGTTTTTGATACAGTGCTTAGTTAATCGGAGAGAGAGAGAGAGAGAGATGACAGCATGCGTTTATGAAATCATTTTTCAGGTGTGAATCAAAAGGGAATCTAATAGTTACAAGACATTGGTGAACATGCCTAGATGAGTTATGCAATGGCAACAGCAACTTCTACTTCAAGCAAGCAAACTAAGAGGTGGAGGGGAAGGTGAAGAAATCACAATAGATGAAGGTAAAAAACCAGGACATGAATTCACATGATAACATGTCCTCATCATTCCACTATGCATAAGAGAAATCCAGAATATAAAGAACAAACAGAGATATGCAAGAAAGCCTTACCTCAACTTTCATTTAACAAGGGTTCTGAAAACCTCATTGACTTGCACATAAATCTGCAAGCCCTTCAATTTATGGAAGCTGGTATCCTCACCTATAGATTAAAGAAGAACAAATAACAATAAACTCCAGTTTTTGTCATCATGCACTTAGAGAGGTACTTATGCTAGATGCCATGCAATGATGCAAATTTCTCTCTACTAACCATTGGAAGTTACTTTAAACTTCAAGCTAAATTAAGTAGATGAAGCTAATTAAATTAGGTGAATGTGGAATATTCCAACTGACTTACACTTACACCAGTTTTCAGATCTGTGTTCCCACTGTGCCAGTTCCTAACATGAAACAAGAAACTGAAAAACATGAGAATTCAAGAACTGATGTGTGGAGACATATAATGTTACGCTACTCATACATATAGTTTTATTCCAAATTTTGAGAAAGGAAAACAAAAATCAACCAGAAAAGAACAAGGAAACTGATAACAAGAAATACTAATATCAATATCCTTATAATACCATATCTGTTACTGTTACATAAACCCCTGCACTTGCAGCTGTGCCGACAGTGTCAATTCCATTTTATTTTGATTAAAAGTGAAGTTTCTCCTGTTGATATCAGGATAGAATCCACCTTCTATTTATTAATGCCTTGGCGTTAATTTGGGAAAAGAGAAATGCTAACGCTCTTTATAGCACACACTTTATTATTGGATGAAAAAATAGTGTTAAAAAGTTTGTTGCTCTTTATTGACAAATATCTTAAGGGATTTGTACCAAACTCCGTGAATTATGTCAGATATGTTTCTCAGAAAATGCATTTTGGATAAAGCAAAAACATGATTTAATTTGACTTAAAATTATTGCATGCATCAGCATCTTTTTGTTATTGGAGAAAATTATCTTTGCATCCAAGACTAACTTTGGGATTTTGTTATTAGAGAAATCGACAATATAATCTCCTAACTGATGCATACCCCATTTCATTACCTTCTAAATGTTACTCGAGTTTTTATTTGCTGGTATTCTAGAGGAAATTATGTATGTTCATATATATAAGGATAAGTGATTATGCTAAGAAAAAGGTATGGAAATCCGTGATAAATTGATGCACAAGCACAAGCAAACAACTAGTGTGTGACCAAAAGCTTCCTAAGAGAATACAAATATTATTCATACAAATATTATTCATCATTTTTGTGAGGTTAGTTTTGTTTAGTCACTTTCACTGTGTCTCCAAGGAACTTAGATATATATATATATATATATATATATAAGTGGGATTAACGGACAAGATTAAGAGTGTAACTTACACTGGTGTAAAATGATCCTAACCCTATAATATATATATATATATATATATATATATATAAAAGCTAATGTAGACTTTTTAAAATTGAGGGCTTATAATTGACCGGCAGTGGTACCCTGCCGAAGTGTAGTCTTCTCATTATCCTACCCTTTATTAAGTATATAGGAAGTTAGGAACCAAGAAAGATGGCAGACAACTTTTTCTTTCTTCATTTGTTTCTCTTTTTCTCCCCAATTTTGTTCAGGTAATTGCTGAAACAGCTCAGCATTAGTTTCATAAAAGCAACTATATCTTTAGACAAGTTACAAATTTTGAAATTAGTAGAACATAATATAGGGGAAAAAAGATATAAAGAAGAACCTAAAATGGTTCCTGAGGTTGACGATATGATATTAGTGCTAGGGCTTTTCCACCCTTCATTTGTTAAAATCTGAAACCCAGTTTGGTCTGTGCTTTCACAGACAAATGGTGGTAAAGTAAAAAAGCACTATGTTTGTGGCACAGCACTCATTGCTTTCAACAATACAGAAGAAGAGACCTTCAAGCTTTTCTTCCAAATAAGATAGCATCAGTGGCATTACAAGGCACCTTTTCCTTAGATGTAACTCTCACAGATCCCAATTTCATGATCATCGTGAAAATTCAGAAAGTGTATAGTTAATGTCAGCTAGCTTTGCTCTTACAGAGAATCAATGACATCTTCGATTCTTGTATGGCATTCAGCAATTCATTTACCAGTTATTTACCAGTTACCCTTCTCTTACCATCCACAAGAAATTTTTATCATTTTCTTTTTGTCCTTTTTCCCTTGGATTATTTTAAGCATACAGAACCTAGCTACTTTTTTCAGAAGAAAAAAAAAATAATATATATATCTGACAAAGTACTCTTCATCTTTATAACAGAATGAAAAAAGCTTCTAACTGGTTGTGAAGTGGTAAGTCAAACAGAATGCTTTAATCAAATTGCTCCCTAGTCCCTAGTTATCTCCCTATGCTTACTGAATTAGACTTTTCACCAAACACTATTAGAGTATACAGTAGATTAGCTAAAAGGAATGCATTGGAAACGTCTAATAACTTTAAAAAGTAAAGATAGCAGAAAACGTACCCGTGAACATACTATTGATGTTTCTTGAATGATAGGAAGCAGAAAAGTATTCACAGGTGAAAAAGCTTGGTAGTTTTGAAGTAACTTTATAAATTGAAGAAAGTAGATGTAGCAGGAGCATCAGTATTTGAACTGAAGCCAGAGATATGGTGGCCTAAAATCAGAAACAAGCATATATATATGCATTGACATGTGAGGCATGATAGTGAATGCTTTAATAGTTTCATGCAAGTAATCCTCAGAGACAAAGAAATAGAGAGAGGGGTAGGCTATATAGCTAATATGCTTCTGCTAGAATTTAGAAGCAACCAGGGAAGGCATCAAGTAAAGAAAAACAAGTACCACAGTAATGTCTCCTAACCAAGAGTGTTATAGGGTACAGCAGGGAAAAGAGATAGAAGGAATGGTTAGTTGGACTTAGTCAACATAGTAATGTATCAAATTCAAAAGCATGATATAATAATCTCCTTTGAATATGAAATATAATGTAATAAGAAGAGAGGAAAATTGAAAAAGAAGTCTTCATCTCAACAGTTTGATAATTGGTGCTGTATGATTATATCACAAAAAGCATGCAATGCAAGTGGGTTAAGGCCTTGGAGTGCTCCTATACTAATTGAAAAGAAGCTTGTGTGGGGCCAAGTCTATATATACACAGGTGAAAGATATACTGTGCATTCATCATTATGCTTCCTCCCACTAAACCTTGGTATATTCTTCTTCTATTAGGCCACCCTTATGTGCATGTTGGCCACGTGTTTATCCTTATGGCCAAAATATTTTCGGTGTTTCAATACAATTGCATTCTCAGAACTCGAACTCAAAATACTGATTAAGCTGAAACAACCCCTTATCAGTTAGTGGTTCCTTTTTCCAATTTTAACAACTCATGTACCTAGTCTTCAATACTACGCAATTACTAAAGATATTTTTACTTGTGGCGTTTGTTACATCAACCATGATGGGATTGCTGTGGCTTCTCTCTGTTGGTTGTTTTGAAGGCCAAACAAAGACTAGCACTTTCTTTATCTCATCCGTGTCATTGTATGGTTTTGCTTAATCATTCATGCGTGAAGGCTTTGTCTATATCTGCTCCTGTTCATTCACTCGTGTGTTAATCGTTTAGCTCACTCTTGGGGCCCTAGATGATTGTATTTTTATGTCATATACAAGGACAAGGGACCCCCCCACCAATCACTTCAGCTGAAATAGGACATGCTAAACATTAACCAAGAGGCTTTGGTAGTAACCAAAGGAAGAAAGTAGAAAAAGAATGGTTTAGTTTTGGTGTCAATCACAAACAACTAGCACAAGAAAATCTGAGAATGAATATACGTAAGCTGAAAGCAATTTCCTTTATTACTTTTTTTTTGGTCCAAGTCCAACCCAAATGATGTTATGACCAAGGACTGATGTTGATGGCCATGATTAAGATCATAATCTCAATAACATGATCATGATAATAGTGATCATTATCATTAATTTCTTTTAAGTTTCTTAATTAGATCTTGTTTTTGTTATGCAGTGTCCAAACTAATCTTTGAACCGACCACGTGCCTTTCCAGTACCAACCTATTTGTTTATTGTGCATGCATCACTTTAATTGATGTGCTTTTTTTTCTTGTTTCTTAACCTTGCTGAAATTATATATCCCCTCCTTACATTTTCTAACATCATGATGAAAAAAATATATTTTGATATCTAGGATTATTTTAAGCCATGGGATATTCAAATTACTTTAATTTCTAATTGATGAAAGAAATATCCCAACCTTATATCTAAACACATATTAAATTAATTTATGCCCAAAATAACTTCCTCGACGCTGGTTTTGTATTTGTTGATTATCATATAGACATGATGTCTTTGACAAAAGGGAAACTTTGAACTTTTTGTTACATCAATTGAACATTGTTGTAGTTATGAGATGTTTAAAAAAAAAAAAAAACTGATCGATGAGATATGATGCTTTTAAGGTTCTTTTAATTTAATTTAAAATAAACAGCGTGTCAGAGCCTTATGCTTATGTACATTATCATATCTTTTCTTAAGTTGCCTAATTTTATATCTTCAGGACTTTAATTTTCTTTAATCCAAGTTAGTGAAAGTGACTCCTCTGTGAAAGTAGGACAGATCGAAGTGGCTCTCACCATCATTATTATTAGTATTATTATTATTTTGGGGTAATTAAAAACGCAGTGATGAGTATAAATACATAACATATATAATGGGGTGGGGAAATTAATGACTAAGGTTATTATTTACATATAAATGATTATCGATTATAAAAATAATGCAAATATAAGCGTGATTTATTGTGACGATTAGAGAATTCCTCATAAGAGCAATTAATTATTGATGATTATGTCTATTTTGTGTGAAGTAGGAGTTTAAAACTTGACATTGAAGAAAGTAGGCCTTCACGTATAGAATCATGTCATGTGTTGCTTTTGACATTTTCTTAAGAATTGGTCTATAGACATAATCAATAATGGCAATGACATGCAAGTATATACATGCAAACCCTCCAATTGATGAATGGGGTAATGAGGAATAACTAATAAGTATGGTTTGAAAACCCTACCCCAGATTCAGATGGCCGTAGTCAACTGCTACTCCATAACAAGGGCCTACTACTTCTTAGAGATTTGATCTGATTTAAGATTCCAATCCAAATGTGTTTTTTTTTTTTTTTTGCTCTCCCTTAATTTCAAAGACATAAGAAACATGGAAAATAATCCTACATTAAATTACGACAGAATATGCATAGTTTTATTTTATAATTTTTTTAATAAAAAAAAATATTTGTCATTTTAAAAGATACAACTTGTGTTATTTTAGATGAAACAATTTTGTTTTGGTTCATAATTGGGTATTTTTTACATTCTCTCTCCTCCACTTTCTCTCTCTTCTTAATTTTATGGAGGAAATAAAATATAAAAAAAAATATCAAATATACATTAAAACAAGAGGAAGGTTATACTTACAACTTTTTTTTTTACAACCATATCTTAACACCGTTGATTTCCGTCAATCAACGGTTACCATTTATTGTGAATTAATAATTAATTAATGAGTTTAATTTGCGAAAAGCATAACCGTTGATTGACGGAAATCAACGGTGTTAAGATATGGTTGTAAGAGGTTGTAAAAAAAAAAAGTTTATAAATATAACTTACCTCTTAAAACAATGTCTTTTATCTAAAATAATAGAGTTACATCTTTTAAAATGGCAAAAAAAAAAAAAAAAAAACCTATTGGACTATTAACAAGGTAACAAATGGAATATGACCATTTCATTTGTCGTTCAGAGATTTGGGCTGCATCAAATTGAATTCCAACCATGAACATGTTTGGGTTAAACGTAATTGAACTTTGTTAGCCCAAGTCTGCTTTTTTATGATGACAGAATCTAAGCTTTAGCTCGAGCCAACTTGGTCCAAACCCGAATATATCCAGTTGTAATGGAAATTGAGTACACAACCACGTGGATCCCTAGTACGGGGTTGTTTCTAATTTAATTAGTGATCTCGAGTTTGGATCCTTATAAATAATATTATGTTAAAACTTAATAGAGAGAGTTTTGCCATCTATATAATCTTACTCAAACTGACTAACCGAGTAATTAATAAAATAATGGATAATATAAAAAAATAAAAAGAAATTGAGTATGCAGTTCACCTATTCACTTCTTCTTCTTTTTTTTCGGTACATACCTATTCACTTCTGTTTATGATGTGATGTGCTCGTTTGGATGATTAGAAAACTTGAAGCGACAAATCATAAGTCTACTGAGAGAGCAATTCATCATACACCTCACGCTTTTTTCTTTTTGTTTCCATTTTCACCCTCTATGTGGTGTTTGGTTGGGAGCTTTTCAGCGGATATCTATCTTTCTCAAGTATGACTTTTAGAAACATCATGTTTGTTTCAACGTTTTTCACCAAAAACCCATATATCCAATTTGTCTGAATTTATGAGAAACATAGATATCCGCACTGTTTAGAAACCCAATTTGAAGGTGAGATTTTTCAAAAAACCGGTTATCTGACTTTTAATGCACTGTTGATTTCATAAAATTACCTAATTTTCCCAGTAAAATTTTTCCCCACCAAACTTTTTTTTACATTTTTCTACCTGTCTCACTTTATCTATCTTTTCAATCATTTCTGTATCTATCTCATTTCCCTACTATTCTAAAAAAATTTCCTAAACCAAACGCGCCCTAGGTCATCTCAACCCCAAGACACAACTTTTTAGGTAGTATTTGGTTGAGGAGAAATTTTTTTAAAGTGAGTAATTGTCTTTACTAGGAAAGATGTTGGAAAGTTAGTTTGGTAGGAAAGTTTAAAAAAAGTTGTTTGGTAGCGCAAAATATTACTAAGAAAATTGGGTTAAAAATCCTGATGTGTGTTTGGTTGAAAATAAAATTGTGATGGGAAAAAAAATGCAAAAGACGAAATTAACTTTTTTATACAATTAAACATTTTCACTCGCTTTCTTCTTTGAATTGCTACTTGCAGCATCCTCAAAGCAACCCCATTTTCACTCACTTCCACCCAAACCTTTCAGTTACTCATACTCTTCAACTTCATGTCATTTCCCAACCAATCATCCACTTAACAATTGTGTTGTTCATTCCTCACTGTTCAACTCACTCTCTTCTCTTTTAAGTCCACTCCCTTTTCAGCTAAGTTGTTTGGTTCTATGAAAAGTTTAAACTAAATAAAAAAGGAAGAAAATTTCGATTTGGGTCGTGAGATTTGATCCATTCAAGTTGAACATTCCTGTTGTGACAGCTCTGATACCTTTGGGTTCCAAACTTTCTGTGGTTGACAATAACTGTTGGGTTTCCTCCAATGGTGATTTTGCCTTTGGGTTCTTTAACATTTCTGATGAACCAAACAGTTCAGTGCTGGCGTGCCATTTTCAACGTGTGGTTAAGAAAGAGGGGGTATATTTGTCATGCCATTTTCAACCATTTTCACTTATCCGATACCTTCAACCAATACCACCTGTTGAAATGGATTCTTCAACAGTGTCAATATCCAATTTTTGCACTTCTTCTTGCATTGCTGGAGAAACATGTTTGCTAGGGAAATTTTCCAAAAAGCTTCATCCAAACGTGGTTGAGTCAGATTCCCACATGCACTTACCCACCAAAATTTTAACTTCTCCCCAACCAAACACTACCTTAGACTTTACTATGCTAAGAAAATTACTACAATATTCATGAAAGGAAAAATAACGTACCAAATGATTTCCATTGCTGCATTTGCCTGCCGGATTCCATTTCGAATAAACATGCAGAAATAATGTTTTGAAATCTGATCTTTTTTTTTCCTTCTTTTATTGAGCAAGTAAATACACTTTGTTAAGACTTGAAGCTTCCTCTAACCTTGGGTTTGTTTATATTAGTTATTTATCAACTATAAGGGGTTTAATTTTCTCATGTTGCATGAAAATTCAATTCTCATGTTGTGACTCAATTAGTAATGAGCCCCACATTTATTAAAAAAAAAAACTTTGCATGCAAATCGAAGAGTCACAACACGAGAATTGAATTCTCATGCAAGATGAGAAAATGTATTCCCCAACTATAATACTCTAAATTAAGCATCAAAATATTTGCATAACTGGTCCATTCCCATATATGCAGAGTTAGGTTAGAAATGAAACCACCAAAGCCCCCATTCCCTTTGGTAATTGCGCTGAACACTCAATCATCAACAGCTTACACCTACAAGGTCCTAGCAGTAAAATTGGCATGCTATTTATTACACAAATGCAAGTATGGCAACATAATTAACCGGCAGCATTATCATATACTTCTCCTTGGCCATGTGCTTTCTGGTCAATCCTTGTACAGATTACATATCAAAACATGCATATTAGAAAATTTTCCCCACAGACCAATACTTGAATGAACTATTTAATGGCTCAATGTAAGGATAACACACCATTTAACCATTAGAGTTAGTGGAGAATGCAGTGGAGAACACTAATTACGGATGCACTGGAACAATAGCTCCAGACGATAAAAGAAGCATGCAGCATAATACTTCGCATGTTTTCAACTCACTATGATGTTAAACTCATACAAAACTACCACAAATCTAATCCACAATCCAATCTGACGAGGTTCAATAGTCACCCAAACAAATCATCATCATCTCCATCAAAACTGCTTGGATTACTGTCTGATTTTCCAATTAATGCATTCCCTTCCCCATCCTCCTTAGCCAAAGGAGCTCGTTCCCCAGTACTGACAGGTGAATAGGCCCAGGAAGATCCAACATTTACAGATAATGATTCTCCATAAAGGTCATCATAAATCCCAGTTTTAATTGGGGTTTTGATCTTTTTTAAGACTTCTTGTAGTTTATCAGTCACACCTTGTTGGGATGAATCTGTCTCCTTAAGAGAGGAGGACTGCTCTTTTCCCTTTGGTATTACAGTAATCTGTACAAGAGATTCATATTTACCGACAAGACTTCCTTCTTTAACACCAACTGGACCAGGTTCTGTTTCTACATCTGCACCATCTGAAACTCCAACAACCTCAACTAGCTCTCCACCAACTTGATCCCTGAAGGAAACTCTTGTCCTCTTAATTCTCTTAGCAGCTCTTTCTGATTGGCAATCCTTATTTTTGCCACTTGATGAACCACCAGACTCACTAGATTTGGGCACTAGATCAGACTTGTTGATGCCATAACGATTCAGAAGCGTATTATAAGCAACAACAGCTTCTTCATCAGATGGGTCAGGAGGTGGAGGGAAATTAATCTCAGTGAGTGGTGGAGGACGAGGGAAAAGAGCCGCATCATTCTTTCTTAATATGTATATTCTTGTTGATGCAGCAAACCGCAAAGATTGTCCCACTTCAAGCTCAACTGGTGAATCCTTAGTCAATCGCTCATTTGCAACAAATGTACCATGAGCAGATCCCAAATCAATTACATATATGCTGTAATAAAAAACAATTTCATTAATGCCAATAAAGTCATAATTTGCAATGGATTTTAAAGTTCCACAGGACTTAATTACATCCAAAAAGAGAATCACTAAACATATCTATCTGTGCACTGCCAGACATGGTGTGTGTCTGCCGTTCAATCAAGGAAGATATTGGGTTATTTTCCCTTCAAAGTCCCCTTGTGGCTCACTAAATCATCAATTCCTAAATTATCTAAAAAGCACTGAAGAGGCTCCTGAGTTATCTGTAATTCATTTTTACAAATGGCTGATTAACAGAAATTAACATGTTTGAATACGTAAGTTTTGAGACAAATTATTTCATAATTCAGTAAGAAAACGACAGTGATATTCATATAGAGAAGTAGCGAATCCTCATTCTATTAATATTAAAGATAAGAGAGAAATGTTCTAACCTCCCATTCTTGTGAGGGATGACTACAGCATGTTGTCGAGAGACAGATTGATGATCAAGCACAAAATCACAAGTCTGGATTTGCCTTCCAAAGATATGCCTCCGTCTGTCCAGATTAATCCGATCTAGCACCAGGCCATCCTTCAAAACTTCCAGATAAAAAACACCCGGCCGCGGCTCGATCGCCCAATCCGGCGGCTGCCATGTTGATTGCCCTCCTCCCACCTGAGTTTGCTGATTCTGCCCCAACAATGGGGCAGCCTCCACTCCTACATCTTTCTGAGAAGCATGTTGTTGCTGATGTTGGGATTGGTGGACAGAAGTTTGAGACTGTGGTGGCACTTTACTAGAGGTTTGGGCACCATTTCTTGAAGATGAATTGACAGAAACAGAGAATGGTTCCAAAGTTTGAGCTTTCTTAAACCTATCAAGACCTGATGCTCTTCCATACATTCTCTTTAAATGAACTTAGCAGATGAGCTCCCTTAGTATGAGCTCACATACAAGTTGCATCCCAATGCCACCATGACATCAAAAGGAACAACAAAACAAGCAACGTTTAAATCATACCTTTGAGTATATGCCACAAAGCTCTCTCTGCACAGACCCTAAAAAGATGTGGGAAAGAAAACAATATTAAAAAAAAAACATACCATGTAAATAAGGAGACCAGGATACCACAGCATATAAATATTTTCAAAAGTAAATAAACGGCACATGATGATTAGAACACAAATGGGTAACCACAGATAAAAACACATGATTCGTTCTACCCTAGAATAAGAATATAGTATTAATCTGCTATCAAAATCTAACCCGGGTTACAATCATAATCGTAGCAATTCATAAGCAAATTGAAGTCTGATTTCCAAGTTATAATCGAAATCAAGAAAAAGAGACGAATTTTCTTTGTTTCATGGATTGATTACTGAAATGGAGAGTTATAGAATCGCACCGATTAGGGTTTTAGAACGCTGCGTCTCTGAGAAGTGGAGAGAGAGAGAGTGAAGAAGATGCTCAGTTTAATTTTCTCCGTTAATATAATATTTTACATGTTTATATTTGTGTTATTACTATTATCTCCTCAGTTTAGATGCAATACCAATCTTATACAGGAACAGTGATCAAAATATCACTATTCATCAACTTTTTTATTTAAATACCATGCGAACAGTCTTATTTCTCAATCTGACACGGAGGTAAGTTCGCTATCCGGTGTAGCGAACTCGGTTTGCTGACGTGTCACGTTTCTAGTGGACACCAAGTTCGCTACCCAATGTAGCGAATTTCATACTTTTTTTTTTAACTTGGTACTTGTTATCCACTATAAATGTGACACGTCAGCAAACCGAGTTCGCTACACCGGATAGCGAACTTGTCTCCGTGGCTGATTGGGAAATAATACTGTTCACGTGACATTTAGGTAAAAAAGTTGGTGAAGAGTGATATTTTGGACCGTCTTCCTCTTATCCATGAGATTTCTATTTTCGGAACAGTGACCAAAATGCCACTGTTCACCAACTTTTTTACCTAAATGCCACGCGAACAGTATAATTTTTCAATTTGCCACGAGGTCAAGTTTGCTACCCGGTGTAGCGAACTCGGTTTGCTGACGTGTCACATTTCTAGTGGACACCAAGTTCGCTACCCAATGTAGCGAACTTCAAACTTTTTTTTTTAACTTCGTACTTTTTATCCACTAAAAATGTGACATATCAGCAAATCAAGTTCGTTACATCGGGTAGCAAACTTGCCCCCGGGACAAATTGGAAAATAACATTGTTCGCGTGACATTTAGATAAAAAAATTGGTAAAAAGTGACATTTTAATCGGTGTTCTTCTATTTTCCACCTTAGTTCCCTTTGGCAAGCCGCATTCACAGTTCACACACGACACAAGTCAACGATTAATCATTAATTTTTATAATTTTACTTAAAAATATAAGAATTTATTAATTTTAGTCAAAATCGTAACAACGTTGTTATTTATTTTTTTAAATAGTTTTCATTGATAATTGATTTCGGATTAAATGGAACCCAAATTTCTAGATTCAACACTAATTAATGGGTTTGATGTTTCTCTAAGAAATAAATTTATCTCCTATAAATATAAAAAATATGTGGAATCATATAAAGAGAAAAAAAAAAAATGAGTCTCAATGTCTCATACACTTTTAAACATGTGTTGGAGATGATTTTTTTTTTTATAATAAAAATAATTTTATCTCATATAATATAATAGACATTAAAACCAAAATTTATTTATGAAGCTATTTTGTAGATACAACTTATTATATATAATAATAAAACTTATTTACAAAATAATAATAATAATAAAACTCAGAATTTGTGCATCATATATATCAACACTTTTTTTAAACATATATTTACATGTAACCAAAATGCATAGCTTTACAGGCAAAAAAAAATTATTTTATTGTTTTTTAATAAATAACTTAAGCAAGTATAGCAATCAAACACGTCTCACATGAGCGTGACCGGTTGGAGAGAGCCACTCTTCATTGGGGCGTGTTTCACCATGTGCTGACACGTGACACAAAAGTCAACAGTTTAACCGTAAAACTTTGGAAGTCCATAATTTTTGACTCGGGTGTCCGAATTAGATAATTTTTTTTTTGATTCCACATAACTTTTTGAGATCTACGTAATGACACCTCATTTGCCATATTTTGTCTGTCACAAAAAAAATTTGAATTTACAACAATGATATCATAAGAACGTTTAAACCAAAATTAATAAGAACGTTTAAAAAATATGAGAAGGTTATAGTTACTCCCTCTTTATTAATTTGAGTTTAAACATTTTTATAGTATTATTGTTATAAATTCAATTTTTTTTGCGAGAGACAAAATATGTCAAATGAGGTGTCATTACGTAGATCTCGAAAAGTTACGTGGAATCAAAAAAAGTTTACCTAATTCGGACACCCAAGTCAAAAGTTATGGACTTCCAAAGTTTTACGGTCAAATTGTCGACTCTTGTGACACGTGACAACACATGGTGAAACACGTCCCACGGGGGAGTGTCTCTCTCCTCGGTCACGCCCAAATGGAGAGTGTCTCTCTCCAAACCACTCACGCTCCTATTGGGCATGTCTCTCTCCTGATCACACCCCATGTAGGCATGTCTCTCGTATGACTCACGCCCCTCATGGGCGTGTCTCTATCCACGGTCACGCCCCATGTGGACGTGTTTGAATGCTACACCTATATAAATAATTTCAAAACAAATACATTTGCGTAATTATTTATTAAAAAAATAATATTTAAATTTTTTTGCCTAGCTTTACACACTAAGTAATTAAGTTTATTTAAATTCACATTTTTATTCATATTTATCTTAAAATTACAATATTTTATCTTTTTTTGAAAATGATGTAGGTACTATAAGAATATCAAAAAAGCTCTAGTAAACTTTTTTTAATACAATCGGAGTACCAATTTGGGTACTCATTTTTCCTAAATAGGAAAAATCTCATTCTATTTAAATTCACACCTTTTTTTTCATATTTACCTTCAAGTTTCAATAATCTAACCCTTTTGGAAGTGATGTAGGTATTTCAAGACTGCCCAAAAAGCTATCTTGGGGGAAGTTTTTTTTTTAGTACAACGGAAGTACCCAACTAACTAGGTACTCCCTTTTCATAATTAGAAAAAATCTCATTCCATTAAAATCTAAATTTTTATTCATATTCTTTTTTAAAGTAATATACTAATGTAGGGAGTCAGGGAGTACCCAAAAACTCTTGTGGATTTTTTTTTTCAGCACAATGAGACTATCAAATTGGTTACTCTCTTTTTCCTAAATAGGAAAAATATAATTCCATTTAAATCTATAATTTTTTCCACATTTGTCTTCAAATCCCAATATTCTATCACTTTTAGAAGTGATATAGATATTCCGGAATACACAAAAAACTCTATTCAGATTCTTTTTTTTAGTATAAGAGAAGTACCAAACTAGGTACTTCCTTTTTCCTAAATAGGAAAAATCTTATTCCATTTAAATTTAGGATTCACTTTTTCTACAGCCAATGCAGATAACTTTTCTACAGTGAGCTCAAAATGACATCGTTTTGAGATGGAAATTAATGTATTTTTATAATTATAATTTATTTCAGGATTATAATAGTCTTTTTCATTATAACTTTTTAATTTTTAATCCCAAAACGACATCGTTTTAAGAGTAAATGTAAATAACTTATCTACATTCACTTTAGAAACATTAAATCCTTAAATCTATACTTTTATCCATATTTACCTTAAGGTTCCAATATTTTACTTATTTTGAAACAGATGTAGGTACTCCAACAGTTCACAAAAAGCTCTCTGAATTCCTACTTTTATTCATATTTACCTTCAATTCTCAATATTTTACCCGTTTTGAAAATGATGTAGGTATTTGAGGAGTACCAAAAAGTCTCTCGTGGGATTTGTTCAGTACAAAGGGAATACCAACCCTCTGTATTCCTTTTTTCTAAATAGAAAAAATCTCATTCCATATAAATTCATGCTTTTATCCCTATTTATCTTCAAATCTCAATATTTTAACCCTTTTAGAAGTGACGTATGTACTCCACGAGTACTCAAAAAGCTCTCATAAAAAAATTCTAGGGCATTAGGAGTATCAAACCAAGTGCTCCATTTTTCCTAAATAGAAAAAATCTCAATCCATATAAATCCACACTTTTATCCAAATTTACCTTGAAGTCATAATATTTTATCCCTTTTGGAAGTGATGTAGGTACCCAAAGAGTACTTAAAAAACTCTCGTGGGATTTTTTTTTAGTATAATGGGAGTACCAAATTGGATACACCCTTTTTCCTAAATAAGAAAAATCTCATTCCACTTAAACTCACACTTTTATCTATATTTGCATTGAAATCTCAATATTTTATTGCTTTTCGAGATCATGTAGATACTCAAGAATTATTGAAAAAGTTTTTGTCAGAATTTTTTTTTAGTACAATGTGAATACCAAATTGGGTACTCACTTTTTCCTAAATAGAAAATTTTTATCCATATTTGTCTTGAAGTCTCAATATTTTAACCATTTTAAAAGTGATGTAGATACTTCAAGAGTACTCAAAAAGATTTCGTGGGATTTTTTCTAGTACAACACAAGTATCAAACTAGGTACTCCTTTTTTTCCTAAATAGGAAAAATCGCATTCCATCTTAGTACACACTTTTATTCATAATTTACCTTGAAGTGATGTAATTACTCCATCCATGAGTACCTAAAAAGCTCTAGTGAGATTTTTTCTAGTACAACGGGAGTATCACATTAGGTATTCCCTTTTTCCTAATTAGAGAAAATCTCATTCTATTTAAATCCAAACTTTTATCCATATTTATCTTCAAGTCCTAATATTTTATCTCTTATGAAAGTGATATACTCTAGGAATACCCAAAGAGCTCTCCTGTTTGTGTATACAAGATGAAAAGTTTTTTTAAAAAAAAAAATAATATATTAAAAAGTCATTCATATAACAATTTTTCCCTATTTTGCTTGGGAAGTAGCCTGCCACAAGGTTCTTTATGCGAGGGTGCAAATTTGTTATAATAATATTTCACCAATCAATAAAAGCAATTGTTATATTTATGATTTCATGCCATTAGGCTCAAATAGCTCATAAAGCGGCTTAAACCAATATAGTTCTTTCTCATGGACAAAAGAATTTAAAATTTATTGCATCTAATTAATGCTTTCAAAAATATTTCTAACTCTGAAGAAGAATTTACTTCTTTAGTGTTTTTTTAAAACCAAACCTCACATATCAGCCTCAAACCAGAATAAAAGAAGAAAGCTATGTTAGATAATCAGCAATCAACGTATATTCCATATTACAAAGTAAAAAAGCAATCTCATTATGAATGTGCTTCAAATTTTAACAAATCAATCTATGAAGAGTCAAGGGATCTGTGCTTCATGTTGTCATGGCGTTCTTCTCAGGCGTAAAAAATCATTTATAACATTTTCCTATATGACAAAAAGCATTAGTTCATGTACAAAAAAAAAAAAAAGCATTAGTTCATCAGTAATGGGTCAACTGTCACAACTTCTAACAATTACTGAGGCAACATTTTGTTGCTGACCCTTACAATACTTAACAACTAAACTAAGCAGTGACTCTTACAGAACAACAAATCCAAAATTTGAACTGCTAGCAACTGGGGATGTAACCTGAGTGAGTATCTTCTGCCAGAGTCAAACGAATCATTTACAATGGAACAGTTAGGTATCAGTAATCTGGTTTGAAGAACAGACTTGGTAGCAAGTCAACCAAAGAACAGAATTTTCAGCATCATTAAAGCTCTGATCAAAGTTACCAAAGAACAGGTTTGTTCCACTTATATTCAATGAAGTTAGGATTGTCATGCAAACCAACCCCATACAGCACAATCACATGTACCTTATAATCTGATGCATCATATATTGCAGTCCAAGCCCTTTTATGCTGACTATCAGCTAGCCCCCATACTTGTTTAGGTCAAATCAAGGAAGATTCATTTGCTATTTTGGTAAAAGCTCCTTCTCAGCTAGACTAAAGGTCACCTTTAAACGTTCCTGCAGATTTTGTAGGATGTTCTTTGTAATCCTTTTCTGATTCTTTGTGCTTTTCTGCCATTCAATTCCAAATAAGACTTGCACTCTACATCCCTTTGCTTTTGGGGGTAAATCCTCAACTTGGTAGCGAAGGTGTATCTGTCGAATATAATAGACACTACTCAGTGGTGCAAAAGAAGAAAACCAACAGAAGGATGACAAGAACAGGTAAATCATAGAAAACAAAGATATAAAAATAGGTGCTAAATGTCTAGAAACAAGCAAAATTTGGCTCACTCACATTGAAACAATCACCAAGAGGAACTCCATGAAGGTTCATAACCTCTTCCACAAGCCAACCCTTTCCATCCAAAAGGGGAGATCTTTGCTGAGTACTAGTCACTTCACCTCTATAACTTGAAATACGCTTCTCAAATTTGTAATATACTGCCCTCTCAGAGATATCAATGTTCTCTGATACCCAAGGGGTATAAGAATATTCAAGACAACCAGATCTTTCCATGACCCGACGGTCCAACTCACCCCCACTGAATATCTCCATGAAGAAACTGGCCTAAATTAATTAAAGAAAAAGAACTATAATCAAACAGGAACATTTTCAAAGTTAAAAAAAAAATTGAATAACGAATCAATAATTTGAAGTTATGGCAATAAGGCACAACATGCACAGATTAGTGGACATACATATGTGCAAGTGTGTGAATTTTTTGCATTAAGAGAGAGAGTGAGAGAGAGATTACAGGAATAGGAAGAACACAAGAATAAATCTCCGACATGCTAACATCATCCAGGCCAAGGAATGAACCACCACTCTCTTCACTTATAAGGGTTTTGGTTTCAGATTCTTCTTCAACAAATTTGACCTTCTGTTCGGGACTCAAGGATTTGGCCTTGCAGAGAGCCATGATAGTCCTATATCACCACCAAAATAGTTTCTTAGTAACATAGGATATCTTCTATATTGTTGTCTATCACTTTACCTTTGCAGATAATTTCTTAGAACTAGGAATATAACATTTCATGGATAAGACTGCGTACGAGGATTGCCCTCACCCTTACTCTCATTAGTAAGGGTTTAATGGAAAGTGAATTTTTTTTTAGGAATATATGATTTAATATTATACCAGAACATCTGGTAAGTATCATATGAGAAGTTAGATGAGCCAGAAAGCCTTCCAAAACTAGGGAGATATTTTTGGCAGTTAAAATTTTTTTCACTCCAGCTGAGCTGAGAAGCAACTATGATTGTGTCGAAAATGATAATCAAATGTAAGTGGAAGGTAACACTGTCAGATATTTCCATATAACAAACCGCTCATGTATCACAATTCATGTACTGTAAAACAATTAAGGAACCGCACCTTCATCACCATGAAACTGAAATCATCAAAATGGCATGGCTCTTCTTTCTATTTCATTACTAAGTAACTTGATCTTCTATGACTAGGTAGTATAAGAAATGAAAATTACATTCAAATAAATTATGCATATTACTATCACACCTTATTATTGCAGTACGATGAAATTACAATTGGATATAAATTGGATTAGCTACAAACATTCATGACGAGGTAAAATGACTTTCATGGTGTTCTTGCATAATAACAGTCAAGACGCAAAAAAAAAGTCAGCAGTATTTATTAGAATATCCAGATATGAATAAACCAAAAGAGTTGCAATTGTGAACTGCCAATGCTGAAATCTTTAACATAATACATTGTTGAAACAACCTAAAATGACTAGATTCAAAACACAAGAAAATATAAACCATATTGAAAGTCTACTGGTGTTGTTATAGACCCTAACAAGCACGGGCAAAAAAAATAAAATAAAAATAAAAAATACTTGAAACGGTGGACAGCATACATCTTCATACAAGTTGCAGATAATTATATATAAGAAATAAGTTCGTAAGATATTATAAAATGTCCCTTGTCTACCTGTGTGCAACACTGAAAGACACAAAGGACTGGAAATGGAACTTCAGCCTGCCTTGTTCATCTTGTGATTTTGCACCATGCCTTGCATTCACACCTCTACCCTGCCGCAGAGTTATGACGATTATTGGACTCCCCATTGATGAAAATGTAGGAGGAATGACCTGAATGTCTTCAATATCCTCCCAAAGAAAAAAGAACTTGGTCTTCTTTCCAAACAAATTTGCATGAAATCCAATTATTCTTGGTGATAGAAATAGGCGGCCCTGCAGAGAAACATTGGCAACTCATAATACTAAATAAGCATATACCAGTAAATACCAAAACAGAAAAATTGACCATGCTTTTTCAACATCACGTAACAGACTAACCACACCTGCAGCGGCATTTTTCTTTTCAAATGACAAGTGAAGTCATTGATGAGAAATTCCTCAGGTGGAAGTCCAAAGAGTTTCTGAAATGCCAAATTTGTTTGAGGAGACCGCAGATTAATCTGCAAATTTTAAATTAAAAAAAATAAGCCAAAAAGAAGGGTGACAAAACAGGAGTACAACACAGAAAAGACAAAGTGTTTTACATACCTTCTTCCCGACCTCTTTCTCCATTTTACTTAAATAGTCTTTTGCTACATTGCCACCTCTAGTGTTGTCCAAGAAAATTCTTAAGTGCAGCTTCGACTGACATGCTAAAGCCAACTTTCCTTCAAGAGGAACCCATATATCAGCGAGATCTGAGATGTTCGCTTTCAGAAAACTAATTTCAGCATGTCCCAGAGATACAGCTTCATCAAAAGGTCCATCAAAATCATAAACTTCCGCATCCAGCACAGAAGGAGGATCATCCATTGCATCAAATTCAAATATCTCTGCAAAGATAGATAATGTACAAAAAATCTATTGATCATATAAAAATACAGATCATGTGTATGGAAACATAGACTTATGCATTAGATCACTGGATTCAGTGGTTTAGATTTGAGTTCTAATATAGAAAATAATAAATGATAACATGAAATTCACCATTCCATAAAGGATCAGATTTTTGGAACTTGATTGAACTGGTTCTTGTTTTCCCATTGCAAGTAAACACCACATATGGATCAGAGAACCCACTAGAATCAACAGAAGCTAAATTGCTTCCTTCAATTAAGGCAACAGTTAGCAACCACCCATCTCCTTGTGCTTTAATTCCATGATCACTACCTAATATTAGAAAAAAAAAATCAATATAAACAAAGACACACAGGGGCATTAAATTGTAAATACCAAACAACTAAGAGACAAGAGAGAAACAAACTCATGGTCACTCCATTAAAAGCAACAGAGTCAGGGAGATAAAGCAAAGCCAAATTGATGAAAAGCCAAGTATCTGCATTCACTCAGTATGAGATTACCCTTTTGTGCTCTGGCCTGTATGAAGCGTGAGATTAAACCCAGCATGCGTTCACCTTGAAGAACCAGGACAGCACAAACAACAAATTCACCAATTGAATCCGGCAAGTCAAGCCCAACAAACTCAAGCCCTTGAATTGTGCTGGGTGCAGCCAGCCAAATGTGGACAAGCACATACAACCCCATAAAAACTGTTGAGACAACTGTGAAGTTAGCAAAATACTGCACTGCCAGCTTCCAATCTGACTGGGGCTCCGCATGCAATGATGCCAAAGCTTGTTCCTTACTGGAACTAAGGTCCTTCGGATCAACAGGTTTAACAGTCTGAGACAACAAACTGGCATACTGATCAAAGCTTTCCTTCATACCTTGCCGAGCCCCATTTTCTATCATTCCTTTCATCATGGTGCTCTGCAAAAAATTCATTCGCCACGATATAACCAGATGTGAACACTGTTCTCCCGATGGCAACTCTGGTCCAGGTGTGATAACATAGAGTACTTCTGTCCTAAAGGTGCTACCGTACACAACATCAGGAGTGCTGACACTGGCTAAAACAGCAAAGTTCTTTCCATCAGCTTTTAAATACGTCTGTTCCTCAAAGGCTTTGACAGCCTTAATTAACTTGCTGGGAGGCTTGACGTAACTAACTAATCTTTTGAAGCTCTCCCCACCATTCTCAAACTTCCAGGGTCCTATTTGCAGTTCTGTATTACCCTGTACATCTGCCAATGACTTGAGAAAATTTGAATCAGATGAAAATAGTAACACGTTCAAGTCTTCTGGTGCAATAATATATTGTTGATCAATAAACACCCCTGCTGGTAAATTGCTAGGAATTTCACTGCCTTGATCTGCGGACTGAATTTTTTTCATAGCTTCTTCAAAAGTCTCATTAGAGGATTGATTCTCAGTATTGATCTCACTAACTTCCGCTTTACTAATTTCAGATTGGTCTGAGTCAATACTTCTCCGTGATGGGGTTGAAGACATATCAGGGCTCTTATTAAAGATTTGAGCAATTCTGCCAGTGAGTGTTTTTTGTGTACCAGATTTTTCATCCTTAGCAGATGTAGTTTCTTCCCTTGCAGGAGAAGATGAGTTTGAACGGCCAGTGGAAGACCTCGAAGGTGATTCAGTAGCTGCATCAGCAAATTTACTTGGATTTAATAATTGATCACCATTACCATTTGACTCCACGGATGCATTCTTTTGTGAAAAATATATACTCAAACGAACCTCACCTGCCAAGAAAAGGAAAAAATGTCAGAATCTAAGTTCAAAATAACAGCAAAATCATGATTCATATATTCATATATTCATGTTCACAGTTAGAGAGCACATTATTTTCCAAAAAGACTTTAGGTCAATGGCCCTTTGAGATGTACGATCCTTAGTCCCAAATTAGACATAATAACAAAATAAATCCCTCATTTGGTCTGATAAAGATTTTCTAAACAACAATTTGATTCTCCACAACATACTACATCAAATTCTTCCCCGGATGATAATATTTTAACATCAAAATAGTCTACAGGTTACTATTTACTTGGAACAAATTGAAGTCATGCAATGACCAAAAACCATTTAAGGACCAGTTTCATTTCACTAATCTTTGAAGGAATAAAGCAGGGGTCTACGTACAAAATAGACAAGTACCGGATTCCTTGTTCTTGGACTTCTTGCTTTTGGGTTGCAAAGAATACCAAGCAGTGCCAAGGGATTTGATCTCCTCATCGAAAACAATTGAGATTGGCACTTTAAGTTGACCTACAAAGTCATCATTGAAGAACTTATCTTCATCCATAACAGAGATAACCAGCTCTTCATTGAGGTCATCCACCATAAAGCTAAACTCTTCATCCCACTTTGGATTCAAATTCTTCTTGATAACCTTGGTCTTGAACCTTTGCTTTCCCAACTGTAGCCTCACGTATGGATCACTCAACCCATTAGGATCCGTCGGTGGCAAGTTCTTTGCCTCAATCACACGAACTACAAGTTTCATTATGAAAAACTCAAAAGGGCACCAGAATCTTGAAGTAAAAATATCAACTTTCTTTTATCACCCTTAAACTACAGGGCACCCCACAAAGATCTTCCAAAAGGGTAATGCAGTGTACGCAGAAAGAGAAGAAAATTTGTATGAAACAATAGGTGGGAGGACACTGAGAAGTAGAAAGAATGAACAACACAGATCAAATTCTTTAGTAAAAAACTTGATTCTCCCAAGAAAAATTGCTGTGGGAATTAGTAATCTATGTAAAAATTGATTCAAAATTAAAAAATTTGTAACAGTTTCATCATGAGTGGCAGAAACAAAGGAGAAAGAAGCACAGAAAATTTGTCAACGAGCCAGGCAAGAAGGAAAAATCAAAAAGAGAGAGAGAGAGAGAGAGCTTTTGAGATTGGATAGAGAGACATTGATAAAATCTACAGACAAAATAAATTTTGGATATGAAAAAATGGAAAGAGAGGGAGATGCAATTAAAATCAAGATTGTACCTTGAAAAGTATAAAGACACTTTGCTTTTACATTGACCCCATTTTGTTCAACCGCGGCCACAACCGCGTCTGACGCTGGACCTATAAACTACACTAGTCATGTACTTTTTTTTTTTTTGATAAACTAGTCATGTACCTTTCTATTCTATTTCTACTGTTATTAAACGATTAGCATATGGGTTAATTTCACCTATTTATTAAGGGATTAGTGTTCGGGAGGAGAACTTTATCTTTTTTAGGAGTTACCCAACTCTAATTATCTCTTTGAGACGAGTTGGCTCCTTCTGGTATCCCCACGAGCTTCGACTCTTTGAGCCGGCTATGAGACTAATCCGGAGTGCGGGTAACAGTGATGGCTAAAGGTTCAGCCCCCTCCCCAAGAATGCATTCAGCGGGAATCGAACACATATCCTGTTGGAAATCGACAATCACACAGAATCGAGAAAACAAAAAAGAGATAAGAGTAGAGAGATTGACACGATGATTTACCCTGGTTCACCCAATATAGGCTACGTCCAGCTTGTCTGTACTATATTCACCTCACCGTCACTCGTTACAAGTCTCTCGGTTTACAAGGCAAATATAAATAGGATTACAAGAAACCCTAACAGCAGCTATTCACGGGCCCAAGCCCAAACTGCTAAGAAAATTACAATAGAAACAGAGGCCTAAACATTACCTAGCCTCTACCGGCCTGGGGGCGCTGCCCCCCGGACCCCCGCCGGGGCGGCTCCCTCGGACCCCCGCCCGCTCATCTGGGAGCGGGACCCCAGTTGCCTTTCTGCTGACCCCGACAATTAGGGCCAACATCATCATGTGAAGTATGAGCCATACCCAACATATCCAACCCCACTAACTCAGCGCCAAGTTACCAACTGAGCTGCACCCATTGGGTGATAAATATATAACACTATGTAGGATTAAATAGAAAGAAGATGAAAAAAATAGACCTTATATGCTTTTATATATGTGTAGAAGATAAATTATATCTTAAAATATGAGAAATACTAATCTTATTTACTAAAGGAAAAAATATTTCTGCAGTTATTGCACATAAGTCATCTGTATTTATTCTCAAAACGACATCGTTTTGGTATTGAAATCTTAAAAAATTATAAATATAAAGACTATTATAACTCTGAAATAAATTAAAATTATAAAAACATCATGATTTTCGCCCCAAAACGACGTCGTATTGGACTTACTATAGATAATTTATCTGCAGTAATTGCAGAAAAAACAAACCATTTATTAAGGAAACCAAATAATTAGAAGTGTATTTAAAAAATGAATGGTACAGTAACACCTCATTTTATTTACTCTTTTAACTTATTTTTCATTGTATTAAAAGTTCTATGTTAAAAAAAGTCAATATTTTATGAGGTTTGCATTTATCATGATCACAAAAAAAAATTTATACACATAATATTTTGTGGAGTCCGCATGTTTTGAAGAAGAAAAAATTAGGACACGCAAAACGAATATAATATAACACAATCACTTTTCCAACCATCGTTGCAGTATTAGATATTGAGTAAGATTGATTAGATAAAGATAGTAGCTTATAATTTAAAAAAAAAAAAAAAAAAAAAGATAGTAGCTTATGATTTTTATTTTTGTTTTTCCTTTTTCTGTTTGGGGCTGAAATGTCAATGAATTTGATATTGAGTGGAATAGCCGACTACCCTTTTGTCAAATGTCATCCTAGAGTCTAATTTGGATGGCACCCCACCCGATGAGGTTCATTCTTTAATTTACCACATGCCACCAGCATTGTTATAAAAAAAAAATGTTAACAAAAAAAAAAAGAAACAGGTGCATTGAAACAAAAATTTTATGAAATCAAGTATAAAGTCTTGGAACAAAGTTATGACACATTTGGCTTGTCTTGAATACCTTTGCATGAGTTATTTTACAGGTGTAATATTTCTTGTATTATAAAAGATAAATTTATTTTTAACATATATAAAAATATATGAGACTCACATATGAAGAAAAGAGAAAAAAAATACAAACATTATATAATATATATGTACAAAATAAATTTATCTCTAAAAAATATTAAGAGCTTGTTTGGATGGATTTTTTTTCTTCAAAAGTTGTTTTTTTTAAGAAGAAAAAAAGCACTTCTCGAAAAAAGTCTCTTTGAATGCCAGCTTTTAAAAAAAGCAGAAGTCATAAAAAAAATCAAAAACCTACTTTTTTCGGAAGCTAAAAATTTTAACTTTTAAAAAAGTAGAAGTCAAAAGTTAGATATTTTTTTAAAAAATCAAATATTTTTAAAAAAATCTAAATAATTGTAATTTTTATAAAAAGTACTTTTAAAATACAGAAGAGATAAAAAAAACTTTCTTAAAAACTCGATAGAAACGCACTCTAAACCCTTATTTTATGTCATTAATAACTTTGCATGTGAACTTTTTTCTTTTCTACCCTACAAAGAATTTATGGAGAGGGGTCCAGTGTCAGCGTTGATTGAAAACGAATGGCTATTATGAATGTGAGTTTTTTTTGTTTTTTTTTAAATGTATTCTTGATAGAAGTACAGAAAAAGTTTACTAAGCTCGTGTTTAGGTCACAGCATTTATTAAATATAATTTTTTTTTAACAAAACTGTTAAAAAAATATTTTTTAAAATTAACTAATTCAAATTCTCGTTAACAAGAATACATGTCAAGTGAGAGAGGAGGAACATAACAAGTTGGAGCATGCGTCAAGCAAACAAATTGCACCATAGCTTGCTTGACGCGTTGATCCTTCTTTTTGACTTCTTCCGTTCACCGCCACAATTAATTCCCAAAGGTAATTTACTAATTATTCGTCTCATGTACAATCTGCAATAAAATTATATTTTATGATTATTAGCATGAATTATTATAGACCATAGTCCATACGTTATATAAATTTATGTCCATACGTTATATAAATTTATGTTCAATATGTCCATGCTCATTTCATATAAATTAAAACTTTTCATGCAAGAGTTGTTGCACAACCTTTCATCTATGAAAGAAGACGACAAATTACACTTGGCTCCCGTAAAATTTACCTTATTCATACTCAACACTTTTCTGTTTGCATGCTTGGTGTTAGTAGCGGTTAATACGAGGAGTAATATATCATTTTCACCTACACTATTAAAATGCACTACAAACAATTAAAAAGCATTGATCAGCTGAGGAAGTATGTTCTTGAAACTTGATGTGAATCGTACCATGAAAAAAACACGCAGTATTTTCTAATAACCAATAGAAAGAGTTCCTCAAGATAAATTGTCATGAGTGACAATGTCTTTCTTTTTAGGGGTTGTTTGGTATGACAATTTTCCTAGAAATCCTATAAAAGTGAAATGAGACAAATTTGTTTCCAATGTTCGATATAGGAAACTAAAAATAATTTCAGGAAACTTTTTTTTCCATCATTTCATTTTACACGTCTTATTTTTATGTGGACCTACTAAAGACTTTCGTAACTTATCTAGAAAAAAAAAATTCTCATCATATTTTCAGAAACTTTTTCTCGATAAAAAATATATATATATTCTCTACCAAATGTCACCTTATTTCCTTTCCTTTCTGTTGGTTTGGAATGTTAATTTTGACTTTCTGTCCATTTTATTCTTTTTCCCAGGCAAGATTATTGCCTCTCACTGAACATCAAATACTAATAATAAAAAAAAAAAAAAAAGACCCAAAAGATTCAGAAGAAAATATTTATTAATAGCCCAACAAGTATCACAAGGAAGTTTACAACATAAAATACAAGATCTTATCACCCAATAAAAAAAAGACAAGACAACAAGAAGACCCTTCTTTTCCAAAAAAAATTCTGATACAGCTATAGATAGAAGTCAGGAACCTAGTTTCTACTGCACGATCAACAATTTTGGCCCTGGCCTTAGAGTGACACTACTTCTGCCTCTTGTAAATTTTAGCCAAAAAGGAATGCAATACAGCTTGAACTGGTTTGCTAGGATGAGCTTCAATAGAGGTTACAAGCTTCTCATAGCTGTTGCTCTCGTAGTCCGCAAATACATCCTATTCATTTGGATTATGAGTAGTTAATCCAAAGTAAATCAAACAATCTATCATGATATGTAGAAATATTTTCAACTTAGTTTGCATCCATGGCTTTCTTGCATAATGTGCGGGAATGTTCTTTATCTTTTAGCATCTTAATTTTGTTTTTCTTTCTGTTTGGCTTATAGGTCATCTTAATGTGTTGATATTGCAAATATAAAATGTTAATGAGAGCTAGCTAATAAAGTTCAAACCTGAAGTTTAAGTTCATTATATAGGGCCTTCACTTTAGCAACATTTGCTGGATCAGGGTTCCCATAGTTCTCCTGAAAAAACCACAAAAATGAGTAATTTATCCCATCTTAATCATGGGAGGGGAAAAAAGAAAAAAAGAAGCTGCAGGAAATAATAAGATGCTCACTTACATATAAAACTTTCTTTTGTTCTTCATTGCTAAGTTCTAGTGCTTTCACCACTAACCAAGAGCATTTAAAATCTTCAATGTCTGTGCCAATCTGGTCCCATAGATAACTAGAATGAGATTAATAAGAAATTGATGTTTCCATTATCCATCCATTATCTAGTATGCTCACCTTTCCAATTGTTTGAGGATCACCAAAGCAATCCAAATAATCATCCTGAAGCGAGAGGAAAAGGACGAAAAAAGATAGGTTACAATAAAGCTTTGGAAAGAGATTTCAAGCTGATAGTGACAATATGTAAACATATAGCTTTCTTGAATCTAAATGGTTTAAAGAAAGACAAGAGGTCAAACCTCTGCTCACAAAAGATTACCTGTACTTGAAAGTATGTTCCCATCTCAACAAGAATGTTCTTTACATCAATATGGTTATCCAGATTCTCACCTGTCATGAGTAATGCACATGCAACCTGTGTAGGGAGGAGATATATACAAAGGTAAATAATAAACCATTTATTCCAGAGTCATAATCTAAATATAAAGGCAACAACAACAATAAGATAGGACTACTGAAAATGAGTCAAATAGAAAATAAAAAAGAAATATCTTATTTTAAATGAAGACTCATTGGAAACAACTTGTCATACCCACAATGACCAAAAACAAAGGAAAGATGAAAGGAAAAGATGTGACTTCAAACGAAGAACACATTGTATGCGTTTCATTATTTGTTTTCTTGTTGGATCAGAAAATATATGATTCTAACAGTTCATTTTTCATTAGTATCTCAAGGAAAAAGGGCAAGGAAGAAACCTAAATTATGGAGGCAAGACAAAAATGTAAAATATAATACTTACTGGAAGGTAAAATGAATAATAGGCCGTCTTGTACTGAACAATACGACGATGCCTGCAGAAGATGCCTTTATGTTAGTTATTAGTATCGATTTCCAAGAGATAGAGACAATGGACAAGAAACTGAACTTCAGTATATAAAATTGCATTGAAACTTAGCACACTGCTAGCTAGCTAGAAGAAAAGGAATTTTGGCTTAGATTTTTTGGAAATCTCAGGTGGTGCTCTCACAAAAATTATCTGAAGCAGAATCACCAGGCATCCCTCATTTTCTAACATAAAGATTGCCTGAGTACATATCTAATAGGAAAGCAGGCTATCTCTCTTCTGATGTTAGCTTCCAGCAAAATTTTACAAAAAATACTGTTTATTGAATGCCATAGAAAGGATATGATATAGCTCTCCGGCAGAAGAATTTTTCTTTCTGCATAGTTATTATACTCGCATTCACATATGACCGAGCATTTTTATTTCTGGCAAAGAGGTTCACCAATAATAATTCCGTCCCAGTTGTTTTCCTCTTCTTTTCCGTACTTACAGTGATAATGTGTATTTGGACAGGTCCTTTTCTCCTTCCAGAGTGGTGATCAGATCTATCATCTGTCCTGAAGCAGTCTGGAACTCAACCTAATAGAAAGTCAACATAATCAAGTTTAAGCATATTAGGAAGATGAAATCCACATAATTCAAACCTTAACATTTGTACAACCTCATTAAACAAATCAAGAAGATCCACGTAATATGGCTTTCCCTTGAAGTGTTTCCTAAGGATTCGAGGAATATGGTTTCGTAGCAGAACTCCATCATTTGCTGCAATCATTCCAACCTTCGCCACACAGTAATTAGAGGTAATTACGTTTATTACAACAGCAATGAAAAGATAGCATGATGGCACATGTTTACTTTTTCTTCAAACCTTGGGTATTCTAAACCAGCATGGCTGACCACGACGTGTGTGAGAGTTGTCCATAATGTCATCAAGAACAAGAAAATATGCCTGAAGCTGCAAAATTCATCAGCAGATGATTGTAAGATTCCTCAATGCCATCACAGTAAACTTCATTCAAACTAGAAAAATGAAAGCTTTTAATTGCCATACCCATTCAATACACCAACCAAGAGCACTAGCAAGGAAAATTTCGTCATCATTTAATGCCTGTCCTTCTTTTAATAATCTGTAACTGTCAATAACTGACAGTCCACGGTTCAGCTTCCCTGCAATGGAAGTAATAGTCCATCTTTATGTCAATAATCTCTTTTAAAAATGCTTTCAGAATACCCCCTCTTTCCTTTCCAAGAAGCGAATAGTTACAATAAACTAATAAGTTACTCAGCACAAACTAAAAAAGAAATTCTCAATTCTCACCTCCAGGCACATTGTAGTCCAGCATCTGCAATAAATTAAAGTACACAGCATGATAAGTGACAGAACAAATTACATATGCATAGTTCAATGAAATGGCAACCAAATGTGCATGAGATCATGTCTATAGACACGTGCATCTTTACAATGTACACATACAAAGGGGGAGTTGCAGTACTATGATTAGTGACTCGTGAAACTATAAAAGAGCATCATAAATAAGTAAAAACTTCCATTTTGCTCAGTTGTTGGAATAAATTTTGATCACTGCAACAACTCAAATTTTGCTGAATCTGAAAGCATTTCGTCAATTTTTTTTATTTTTTTTTATTTTTGCAGACTTGCCGCAGACTAAACTTGGACAATTATCTTAAATATAAGCATCATCTTTGCAGAATAAAGATAGAATTTTACACACAAAAGCCCCAAAAGAAACCCACTGTGGTTATCTTGGTTGGTACCTCAGCCATATGACATCTTTAACCATGTTAAGCAATTTTCCCCTTTTGCAGTGGGATCAGCACCGTAAACATTCAGTTCCTCAGTCTCCTTCCTTAAACATACACACACTTTAAACTTTACAGCATCACATTCACCTTTTAATCTATCCAATATTCCACATTCCAATACTGTAATTAAACCAAATCTTTATTTTCTCTCACACCCCAAACACACACACACCCATTGACAAGCTTAACAAATTTAAAGACCCAACATTTACCCACAACAAAAGCATGTTAAAAATTCATTCTTTTTCCAAATTTTAATCAAACAATGAGATCCCATCCTCAAATACGATCATCATACGAAAAACCAAACAATTTGAAGCAGAAAAAAAAAAATTGAATTTTATTAAATAAGAAGACATACCCGGTCGACCCATTGACGAGAATCATCGGAGAACTCGAAAGCAGGGTCGTGGAGAAGCTCAGATTTGAGAACAGAGTAGACATTCAAGAATGTGGACTTGAGATCTGCCATTGACAATAGTGGGGCTACGAAGAAGAGAGAGAGAGAGAGAGAGAAATTGAATTTAAAAATACAAGGATGCGTTTGTTTCTAAAATTGCAATTGAAATTGTAATATATAGGGAATGGAATCGAGAAAAAGAAAGAGAGAGAGTGAGAGAGAGACCATAGAAAGAGGAAGAGAAGAAACGACAAGCGTGGAGTTACACAACCTGCGAGTGTGAGGTGAAGGAGGCCTTGTTCCTCGTTTCTATTCGCATATATTAAAGGAATATAATTCTCCATAAATTACCATCATTGCCATTCCTTTTTTTCTTACATTCTTTTTCGCGCTACGCACTTGCGGCATTACCGTTACTTCTTAACAATGAATTCAATTTTAATTTATATTATTATTTAATTATATTGTATTATTGAAAGAGTTTTATTTTTATAGCGCTTTGAGTTGCATTTTTTTTTTCTTATTTTATATTAGAGTATTTTTTTATATTATTTTTTCAAGTATTATTGTGGCAGATCATTATTCAAGATATTCTCTCAACTGGCACATTTTTTAAAATTTGAACATTGATTCTTTTTTTATTTCATTGTAAACAATTAATTATATTCAAGAAGGAAACAAAATATTCATAGGACGTGCAACGGTTACTGTTCTACATATGAAAGGTCGAAGGATTAGATAGTAATAGATATGAATAGTAAGATTTGATAATTATAAAAATAATTTCCATTAAGAACAAAATTGAGTTGAATGCCTTCCCTCTGTGGACATGCTTTTAATTATTTTATTTTATATTATTTTTCAATTTGCTGGGTTGCAATTTTAATAAGTCTCGAGTTCTCGACCTTTGTCTTTTACACAAATTTGTAAAAGTGACACGCCGCAGGTTCCAATTGGGTCTGGCTCTCCCTATTGGAATTGGATCCTGTGAACACGAGATATTCGGCCACGATGCCCACGATGTTCAGACTTTTGCACCCCATTTATTAATTTAAATCTGCATGGCTCACGTGGTTTATTTATTTAATTTTTCTCTGATATTACTTATAAAGCTATTCTGTTTCTTCTGTATGTTTGCCTTTCAAGTGATATTACTAAGGGAAATAGTTTTCTCATTTTACATGAGAAAAATTTTTTATGCTACACTCACAATACATAAGTGGATTTCATCTTGACTTTTTTATCTTTTCACTTTTTTGTGGACTCCAATCGTGTATTGTAAGTGTAGTATGAGAAAATTTTCTCATGTAAAATGAGAAAATTAATTCCCTATTACCAAAAAACCCCAATAGCAAATAACTTATACAATAATTATAGGAAAAAACAAATATTATGTTGTAAAAAAATTCTTAGGTCATGTTGTTATAGAGACAATAATTGTGAGGAAGAATTGATGGGCCCACTTTTATGTATCTGTAAAAAAATTGCTTGTGTCATGTGAAAGAATAAAAACATTACCCATAATTATATATCTTGACATAAAAAGCATACTTCTATTTAAAATTATTATCGAATTTTTTTGTTAAATATTTTAATCATTTAAAACACATCTATTTTGAAAATTATAGCATAACTGTCCAATATTGTACGATTTGTCTTTTAAAAAATTAAAATTATGTTATTTTAATCAAAATTATTATATTTTATAATGAAAGAAATATAAATCATATGAAAGAAAGTAGATTTTTTTTAATTTAAATATTAAATAAAAATAGTAATTTTAACTAAAATAACTGTATTTTAAAGGACAAATATTTTTTCTCGTCTTATTAAATAATATAATTTTATTTTAAATTAAATGATCGTATTTTGATATATATTGATAGTTTTTTTTATATATTTTTTTTATTAAATTAGAAAAAGAGAATATTGTGGAATAAAAAGTAAGTAAAAAAAAAAAAACTACTGAATGAGAAAAAAAAATTCCATAATAAAATTTCTTGTCGCTAGTATAGTATACTAAAGTGGAATTGGAGGGAGAGCAACACTTTGTGGATTTTGGTTGGCCAATTAGAGTCTCTCCTAAGATTTTGGGCTCAGAGAGGTTGATTTTTGCTGATTATTGTTTGCAGGACTTTCATAGTTACGTCAGTTGTCTATTCTTTCAGCTAGACTCTTCTTCTATGGCTGTGTAGCCGCCCCTCATTTATATCGGGGGGAAAATTACTAGTTGGTAGTTGCGTACTTAATTATGATTTTGATTATTAATATTCAATTATTCTTGAAGTGTAAACTGTTAGATAAAGGTGCGAAAATGATTTTATTGTATAAATCATGAGAAAATCACTTTACTGCATAAATGATTTCTCATGTCATAGACTTAATAATATTTTTCATTTATTTTTATTATTAATTTTTTTAAATATGATGGGCCCCAATATATTATTGTGTCAGCAGGAGACTCTCAAAATTTAGAGTGACACTGACCGCATAGATACACAGCCCGTAAATCATTTATTAGACTCAAAATAATGGTCCTTGATATAATATTAAATTCTTTAAAATCAAGTTATCGTTGTCACCCTTATTCCTAAACTTATTCCTAAACTCCAACAATTTTTTTTTTTAAGGTTATATTTATAATTTATTTATTTTTTACATCTTGTTACAATCATATTTTAATTGTTGATTTTCGTCAACTAACAGTTATCATTTATTATGAATTAATAATTAATTAATAAATTTAATTTACGAAAATCTTAACCATTGATTGGCGAAAATCAACGACTAAGATATGGTTGTAAGAAGTTGTAAACGAAAATAGGTTGTAAGGATAACCTTCTTCTTTCTTTTCAATGTAAAATCTTATTTATAATTATCAATCACACGATGAAAATAAATAACTATTTCAGCTATTTATTTTATCATGTATTTTGTATTCTTCGTATGGAATTATCTCTTCTTCTTTTTTTAAATGTTGGTTAACATTAATTTTCTCATATATTTTTTTGGAGTAAAACATGAATAATTAAGGTGATTTACAAGGATAAAAAAATTGGATTTTAATAGGTTTATAAGGATAATGTTGATTTACAAAACTTTTTTAAAAGATTCTTCTTAAATCTTACCATTAAGATTTGACAAGATTAAATTTTAGATTATTTTAATATAATTTATAGGATTAAAAGGGACAATATGGATCTATAATATTATAAAAAAATCATAGGAATATTTAATGACAAAAGTCAATATATAAAATTACAAAAGAAATAAAATAATATTAATAAACAATAATCTAATACACATTTTTTTTTAATTGTTGGGCAAGTGGCTTCTTACAAAGGACGCTTACGGAACACCTAGAGGGGGTGAAGAGGTGTTCTAAACTTTTTCAAAAAAAAAAATTCTTAATAGATCCTTAAATCTATAAAGTCTAGACAAAGTCAAACAATTAAGCTCAATCACCATATCAACTCAACAATATTGATAGCTATCAAATTATTTTACAAGTTCAGATAACAGTCACACACACAGCTATAACAATTTTATTAATTTTTTTTTTTTTTGTAATATGCCCAAAATGATTTCTATATGATGTATATCAATAGAAAATGTACCTGACCTTTTATTTTACAGAGCAAACGCAACAACAAGCTTTCTTACTCAAAACAGAAAATGATTAATTTTTAAATACCACAAAACAGTTGAAGTGCTACAACAATTATATCAGAACCTGTAAGGTGCTACAACACTTTGAAAAATATAACAGACAGCTGCTACAACACTTTCAAACAATAATCAGTGTAATTGTAAGCCTCTAAACAAAATATTCAGAAATTAAATCAAAGAGACAAAGACACACGATATATTCTGGTTCACACCCACTAAGCCTAAATAGGGAGCTACGTCCTGAAGTAGCAGAAGATATTTTGTTTATCACAAGTGTATTTATTTTACAAACACGTGTCACACAAGCAATCAAACAAAATACCAAAAATCTTCCTAGTGTCTACACTGCTCCAAGCTTCGAGAATACTCTCAAGCCGAACCTACGAAATTCACCAACTCCTCTCACACAAAACCTCCACTATCCTTAGTGTATTCTTGAGACTCCCAGCCTTGAGACACATTCTCAAGCCAAGCAAAAGGTCACCAACCCACACGGTTGCACCCACACACCTATGACAGATTTACAGCATGCAATTACTCCACTTTAACAATCAATACAAATTTTTTTCAGAACTGTAACAAATGAAATTAACCAAAAATACAGTGTCATATCACACCAAATATATCACGATAATATCAAACTAAGCTCCATAATTTTATGCCATATGCAGAAAAATGAAACTAATGACATATGTATCAAAATCTTTAAAATTAATGCACCAAGGAGCTTGGATATTACAAAATTAATTCTCTAATCATTGGACACCAAGAAATCTAATTTAAACAGAAAATATCACAATGTAAATGGAAAAAATCAAATTTGAAATTTTAACAGAAAATCTCTATTCCAATGAACAACTCAAGAGATTTAATTTCAGATTATATCACTCAAAATTCCTAAAGCATATGAAGTAATAGATCTAAAAACTTCCAATTAAATGCTTCAAATCAAATATTCACAAAAGATTTGAGTTTATTGAGTCTATCGTAAAAAAGCCCCAAAATATGATATGAGTTGTTCTCACAATAACCCCAAAAATATTTAATATACGCATCCAAGAAAGACCAGTGATTATGTGAGAGAGTGCATCCAAGAACCCGAATAAATCTTTGGTACCACTATGGTATCCAAGTGGGTATATCATTTTGCCATTTTTGGAAAAAAAAGTGCAATGTGGCGGGAAAAATAAATTTGAAAAGTGTTGAAATTTTGTCCAAAAGTGGAAAAATGTTGTCCCCACTTGAATAAAACAGTGGCACAAAGATTTATCCCAAAAACCCAACACTGAAATGATTTTCTTCGGTTATATCAAGAAGAATGAACTTCAGCAAAATGTGTATTTGACAAGAGAGTATTCTAGGTTCTTCTCCTCTCTCTTTTTAATCGGTTAGAAAAGTATTAGAAGGTAAAAGAGACAAAAGGAAAAATATTAATTTCATTGATTGGTAGTCATTAATTTGTACAACGAGTGAGCTCTTATATAGAAGAGCATAACAGAAAAGAGAGAGATCTAGAATATCATTAAAATACTAAACTACTCTTATACCTAATATATAATACTCCCCCTCAAGATGGAGAGTGAACAAAGAGAACTGCC